GATTATTCGATTATTATTATTATATATATATATTATTATATATATATATAATATATTATTATATATTATTATATATATATATATAATATATATATATATATATATATATTATATATATTACTTAGCATAGTCACTTACAGCTTAGCTTCTGCATTAACATACATCGCCTACATTCATATTTTCTCAGAAATATATTTACGGAAGCTTAATTTATATTTCATTTTCTTGTTATTTAATTATATTTTTATTATTTTTTTATTATATTTTTTTTATTTTTATTTTTTTTATTCTTTATTATTTAATTTTTGTTTTATTTCTATCTTATTTTACTGATTTTTTATTTTATTTTTGATTTGATTTACTTTATTTTATATGTTCTTATAGAATAATTTCCAGGTCAGCTTAATAGTTAAACATTACAATAGAGCTACAATAGGATTTTATTCTATTGGAACACATTTTAGATTCTATAGACATAAAGTGACTTTTTTTGTGACTTGATTATCTCAAGCATCTTTATCTCAGTTTCCACTGTTTTGGGTCTAGAGTAAGTTCCAATGTTAGGTCGTCGGGTAAGCTGTGTATTTATACGTAGCACTACCGCCGCTATATTATTCCTGGCGTCACCACTTCCGGGACTAATTTATTTTTATATGAATTATATATATATCATTATATATATATCTATATTAACTTCAAGTAGGCGCTTGTCTCAAAATTTTCATAGATATATTTAAATATATTATTTTCTATATATTTTAATAATAAAAATTTAATTCTAAAGTTATTTAAAAAAAGTTTCACTTCATTAATAACACGATTTATTGTATGAACTATGAAGAGAGTACAGATAGTCTTTTAGAATGCAGTGTATAGCTTCCTTTGTTATAATGGAGATGAAACAGATGGAAGAATGTTAGGAATCAAAGAAAAAAGAAAGGTGCTAACAACAAAAAGTAGTAACGAATATTGTGATAAAGAAAAGTTTGTTTTTGTATTTTAAATTTTAATATAAAAAAAATATATTTATATATACATTATAAAAATATTTATCTTATTATTTATTATACTACTTGAATTATGTATAAAATACATAAAGTTTTAAAAATTTAATATATAAAAATCATTAACGAAAACAGGTAATAAATACAGAAAAAATTAAATTCACACACGCACATACCCCACATAAACATAAACAATTATTTTTAATTTATTTAATTAATTTATTTTTTAAAAGTTTTTCTACTTTTTATTCTTTTCATTTTCAAAAAAAGAAAGGAACATTAAAGGTTTGAAAGCAAAAAACAATGCAGAGAAATTTTATAATAATAATGTATTTATACACAAATGAAACTGTATAAAAAATTAAACAAAATTAAAGTTTTAGAAATCTAAATTTAAGCTTTCGGTGTTTTAAAAAACTATTACAAAAAAATTTAGAAAAAAAATTTTAGAAAAATAAAATTTATATTTCGATAAGATAACAAAAAAAAAAAACTTTTTAAACAAATCTCGGTGTTTTTAATATAAGGAAAAATTGAAAAACTCTTAAATGCAAAATGTAAAACAGAAATTCGTTTATAATAAAATAGGAGAAACTTTTAAAAAATGAACAAAAAAGTATAAGAACCTCTTTCACTTTCGTGTCTTTTATTAAAAATGAAAATATTTTTAAAAAATAAATTTAGCACAAAGTAAAATAAAACCAAATAATATTATTATTACACACAATTTTTGAATAAATTAAACTTAAAATATTGATGTGGAAATTTTAAAATAATCAAATTATTATTAATAATGATATATTACGTATATGTTGTACACATACTACCAACAAAATTTATACATACAATTCTAATATATTATAATTTATTTATCTCTTATATTTATTTACGAAAAGTGAACTTTTAATATTTTTATTTAAACACAAAAACAATAAAAATGAGTACGAAAAATAAATTAAAACTAAAAATACAAACTTCGAAATAATATTCCTGCCAATAGTAATAAAAAAAATATATTAAATAATTTTATTAAAAACCACAAAACCACAACTAAAGTTCAATAATTCCGTTCCAAATAATAAAAAAAATGTTTTGATTTTAATAATTATAAATTTCATGGTTAAATTATTAAAGGGAATAAAATAATATAAAAATGTCTCATTCTTATTCAATTAATTTAGTTTATGTTTATATATCTAATATTTTTCCTGTTGTAAAATTTTACATTTTAATGTTATTTAAAAAAACCTAAATAAACTTAAAAATAAATAAAAGTGTGTACATATAAACATTTAGTTTATATATATGTACAAAAAAACATTAAGACTTTTCTTATATATTTATATAAATTAGTATATTCTTTAATTATTGATACCCCTTTTCTGTTATTAACTTCTAGCGATCAGAATGGATTGCACGATTTTGAAACACTCATGATTCTACTTGATTTCTGCTGCTAACTTCTGAAAGAGCATACTAGATTTTATCGGTACATTTTTAATTAATTAAATCTTCTATCTTTCTTGCATCAAAGAATTTCCAATGGATCATAGTATATACATAAGTTATTGCGTTATTAATTCTTCTTCTTTCTTTTAATGAACCATAAAGCCCGTACAACCATAAAGGATTAAATACAAACACCAACATCTTCACTTGGAGGTAACTGTTGCTCATTGTATTGCTCTTAAAGTTGCTAGGGAAAGCCAACCCACTTAGACTAAGCAAATATAGATTTTTGTGTTATGCTTGTTAAACTATTTGATCTTTCAAATAAAGTGAAGGAGATCCTATAAAGCTTCCTACATAATCTCTACCAGGTCAGTAACATTAAAATCGTTCCATCTGCAGACCTGGAAACAGATATAGAAACTGATTACAATGATTCACTATGTGAAGTAGCAACTTTCATATAGTTCGTTTGTCAGTTGGAACCACCAGTGAAGCAGCGGCACTATAGAAGTTTACTAAGCACACATACTACCGGTAAATTGCAACCAAAAGATGTTTTGTTCTTCTATCTAATTTAAACTATATATGCTACTTATAATTTGTGGTCTGTATTGAGGTATCAACCTAGCTTATATCCCTTTTTCTTGACCATTTCATCTGCATTGTAGTTCGCTTTGATATGTCTATGTTCAAGAACACAGCAACAAGTACTACAGATTTATTAAAATTCAACAGATCTTTTGTTAGAATTTTTTTAAAAATTGTAAAGAATAAATTTTAAAATTTTGTTGTTGCAATTCAATATTGTATAAACTTTTCTAATTAAAAGAATTGTTTCTTCATTCTTTAAAATAAGGTATAAGGTATAATAAGAAGTCGTCAACTTATCGAAGGGACGCTCGTCATGCGCTATTTACTTCGTACTTTTACATTAAAGTTAGCTCTACAGGTTAGATACGAACAATGCCGTATTAGCGATATGAAGAGTGAGGCTCATTTGTACTGATACAATAAATTTCAATTTTACTTAAACTGTTTTTTTTTTGTTACTAGCAGTGATCTTTTATTTCTTATATATATTTTAATTAAAACCATTTTATTACGTTGAGAGAGAGACAAGTTGAGTCAGTGCACCTGAGCACTTTTACTCTATATTAACTGAGCGTTTCTTTAAAACCCCTCTTTGTGCCTTGACTGGATTACTATTTATCACATCATCAGACTAAGTAATAATTGACCTCAGATCTGCATACCTCCCCGAGGAGCCTGTAACGATTCTAAGATTTGATAACGCGGTGTTAGTAAGTCTGTCAGATTTCGCAAATAATTTCAAGGCTCTATCCTTTATGTATTTTTTGATGGGATCAATCTTGAGGTCCCTAAGGATGTCATTCGTCCTAATATACCAAGAAACTTTGAAAAGTCTTCTCAGAGCCTGGCTTTGTGCAATTTCTAACTGGTGAATAGTAGTGTTTGAAGCTTTGCTAAACGCTACACAACCATATAGAAGTGACGGAGAAATTATTTGGTTATATATCAGTTTTCTTTTCTAAATAGCGGCTGGAGGTAATGAAGAATTTTGGCACAGCTAATTCTTTTTAGTGGAACATGTTTAAGCCATGTGAATCGTTTGTCCAACATGATGCCGAGATATTTAACGCTATCCTCCCAGTTTATCACCATATCACCCACTCTCACTCTCGACGGATTCTGTCTCCACTTACGCGTTATAAACAAAGCTTTAGTTTTTTCATTATTGATTTTTATTTTCCATTTCTGAAAAAACTCCAGAATGAGGTTAATATGCTCTTGAAGTGTGTTCGTTATGTTGAGAGCACATTTATCTGAGTATAGCATACACGTATCATCAGCATATAACGCCAAAATCGAGGGACCTAACATTGGAATATCAGATGTATAAATGTTGTAGAGAGTGGGGGAAAGTGGCGATCGGACTGACGAGAGAGCGCTGTTGATTTTCGTGCGAAAGGACCTCCCACGGAGGAAGCTACCGATGATCTTAGTTAGTCTGCCTGGAACACCTAGATGAGACATTTTAACTATCAGACCATCATGCTAGACCTTGTCAAAGGCTTTAGAAATATCAAAAATGATCATTCCAGTTGACTCTCTTCTACCATTTTAATAACTATCAATTTAAAATTGTGTTTTCGATCACGTAAAATTAAAATTTGTTTAAGATTTATTTTTTTATATTAATACAAAATTATATTTTTTATCACAGATAAATGGAAATACTATATTACTTTTCTTAACAGCTCTTTCACACCAGAAACTTTTCGTAAACGAATGAAATGCCTAATATCTACAATATTATCTTTAATATTAATTATGTGATTAATCAAAAAGATATTAATAAATCTAATTAAATTCAAATTAAATTCAAATTAAATTATTTACAATTAATATGAAAACTTAAATATGAGATAATAAATTATCAGCAGAAGCAGCAAGTTAATTATTATATATATAAATAATTTAATTAAAAACCAGTTGCTGCTATTAATAATGATAAGAAAGCATATTAAATACAAGCTGTGACATTTTGACAGACTGTATTATCCATAGCAAATAAACGATTTTGTACTATATCATAAATTTCTCCATAAAGTTCTGTGTATAGGCTTGAGTTAGCCAATTCCATTTTTATAATATGAGTTACACCTGGCTTAGCGCGATATTCAGTTACTTTAGGAGAGAATCTGAAAAGTAGCAAGAAATCATTATTATAATAATAGTATAGTATAGGCATCGCTTATATTTTTTGCTTACTGCATTTTATTTTGCAGTGTATTTTCTACACTTTGAGCTATTGCCAGCATTGATCTTTCTGTGGTAATTGTATTAAAATTGTCACAAAATGCCATAATGAAAGCTGCACCATATTCTTTAAGGTAAGACACGTAACCTATTGTAATAAAGAATATGGCATTTTATTTTTCATTACATACCATTTCCTTAGATACATTATATATAAAATTATACGTAAAAGATATTAAAATATAAAATAGTCTAAACACACGCATACTCTAAAGATAAAATCGTCATACTAACATTGCATATTATAGTAATTTTAAACTATATACTTTTAATCTATATATTTTTTACTTTTAAAAATTCGTCTATTTTTATAATACAATAATAAAAATAAAATTATATGTATTATATAATTATAACTTATATTTATAATAATAAAAAATTGAATAAAATAAAATTCTATAATAATTTTCTTTTTTTACGGGCTAATTGGGCAAAAAAAAATATGAAAGAACCAAAAAAAAAAAACAAAATTATTATTAAAAATATTTAGTCATTAAAACAATAAAATTCAATATATAAAATTAAATATCGATATAAAATCAAATACAATTTAAATTTAAATTTATATTTGATTTTAACATATATATATATTTAGTAAATATTTTTTATAAAAACTATAAATTTACATTTTACCTTCTTGTGCACTATAAAAGCTTATAAAATTTTCATCTAAATCATCATTGTCAATTTCTTCATATACTAAATCTCTGTCCTCAAAGCGTGGATCAATAACACCTCGGCAAATATTTATTAAATTTATTAAAAGTAAATTTCTTAAAGTTATATTCTCTCTTAAAGCCTTAAAGATCACATCTTCAATATTATAGACATCAGTCTCGGTGTAAATAATACCGCCCTTGTTTCCATGTGACATCACTGTCATATATAAATATTTCAAATATTTAAAACCATATGTTTTAACTGTAATATATAATAAATAATAAACAATGAAATTAAATTCCTTTTTAAAAGATATTACCGAAATCCATAACACATTTTATGTTGTTTGTGGTACCATTCATTATAACTAAATGAGATATATATTTGGTAGTAAATGAATAATTGAGTCTTTGAATATCGTATACGCTAGCTTCTCTCATATCTTTATTTTTAAATAAAATATTATTAAACGTAATTGCTAAAGATGGACTTGTCATGAATACGCAGCTGTTAATAATAAAAATAATAATAAAAAATTTTAGAAAACTTATATTTATTTTAATATTACCCTATTTTATGCTGCAGTGCTTTTATCATATGTTGATTTAACCTCTCCACTGGCCATTCATTAAATGGTAAATCTAAAATTTGACCAAATTTTTCAATAAAATCAGAACCATCTTTTTGTTGAACGTAGCCTATTTGAGATTAGGAACATTATTTGGATTTATTAATACTTAATACATTAATGTATAGTATATAATTAAAGTTTAAATACATTATAAAGATACCTCTTTGTGCAGCATCGAAAAAAACTTGATAATTCTCTACATCAGTTGTGTCAGTTTCTTCGTAGATAGATTCTTTTGTATGGATACAACCATCGCGACATGCAGTTACATAAATGATTTTTGGCTTTGTCTTGGGAAATGTTTTAAGGCTCCAATAAATAGTTCTTAGTATATCTAATTCACCATCGCATTTCTGTATCTCTATGTCTCTTATACGAGCTACTACCCTTGAAGAATTAAGTTTGTTTGCAAGAGATTTCAAGACTATATTTGCATTCGAAATACAATTACTGAAAATATTGATGTCACTATAACTAAAATCAATAATAATAATCATTAGTCCAAATATAAATAATATACAACATTATATAATATATATAAATTATTAATAAAATAGAGAGGTTTCGAAAAGTAGTGAACTACAACAACAAAAATTATTTTTATATTATTTTATTTAATTGATTTTTTGACTGACCATAAAGCTGTTTTGAATATTGTTTTTGAAACTGCAAGCAACAGAGTTGAGCTCATGCTCTGCTAAATTTGAAGCTCAGAGTCAGTGCTCATTATCCAATTGACACAAAGCCGTACTTGACTTGTATGTTCGAATTTGGAGTTTTATTAATTTGCTATGTAAGTTCATCAACAAATTTACTTCCAGTGGTTTATTAGAACGAAATTATAAACCAGCTATAGAAAAATTAGGTTAATTATTTATATATATTATATATATTTATTAAAATCATTTTTTTTTAAATTACTTTAACTTACATAAACCATTTTTTATGATTATTAAATTTCATTGTGTTGATTGTATAAAATATACGCATATTTTTAAATTCCATTAGTACAGAATTATCAAAGCTGGTACAATGTTTGTTTCTTCGTAGAATCTTTTGAATCATATTTATTTTAGTTCCATTTTCAACTGTTACAGAATCATTGAAGCACATCAACGTTAAGAGTCTTTTTCTCTTAATACTTTCGAATTCTAGTTCTTCATATCTAAAAAAGGTTCCAAAAAAAAATGAGTGTGATCCAAAGACGATTTGTTATGTTACTTACTCAAAAATTAGTTCAGCATGGGATAGAATAATTTTTCTGATATATATGAGATTAATATTTTTATTAATAGCTTTATATAATGCTCTCAGTAGATCATCTACAGGACATTCACATTCAAAATGAAAAATAACAAGTAAACGTGCGTAGCCATAGAAATTATCTGAAGATACTAAATATTAAAAAAAAATGTATTTGAGTTGATTTACTGAAAATATAAAAATATTAAAACATAGCTACATTCAAGTAAACTCAATTAAATGCATATTTGCTAATATCCAAAAGCTGACCTTTGGAATAAACAGTTTCTTAAGTGGTAAAACGTAACTCATACGCAACGAGTGACTTTTTTCTAACTAATGATTGAATATAAATTTATAAATGAATACAGATTATTTAATTTTATATATAAAAAATATATATAATAAAACTACACATATAAAATTTTTAAATATTTGTATTGTGATAATGATAATAACACTATTATTTTTAAGCACAGATGTATCACATATAACATATGTAATATATACTTGTTTACCAATTTTTGCTATGAGAATGAATCTACCCGCTAATGAATCTACCGCCACAATCTACCATTATCGGGATTGTGATTCTGAAGAGGATGAAGAATCCGTATTTCACATTCTTATATTCATATTTGATAAATTGAAGATTAAAAATCAATGGGGCAACTTTTCTTACTGATCTGACAGAGCTGCCATCTTGCAAACTAATAGAATTAGCCAAGTTTATAGACTTGTCAAATTGTCTGTACGCTAATCTCTGCAGTATACATAAGGTTGGTCGTCGTGAGTTGCGTATGAACACTCTAATCCGTAATCATTGAGCTTTTGTGTATAATGGCACCACTTCAAACTTTCGCAACCTTACTAGACTTTTTTTACAATTTTAGAATGTTATTAGCATTTTACTGCACTTAGTAAAGATTTTGAATGGATTTTGTATGGAGTTTTTATAAAAGCTGCCGCTTATTGTGCAAAAGTACTTATTGCGATGTAAGCAAATTTGAATAGTATAAAACTGACCGATTATGATTGCGCTTTATATATATATCATATGTGAACTATACCTATGTTATTTTTGATATATGAAACCAGCAATATGAGGTATAAGCATAATATTTAGTAACCATATTTCATTTTAATGCACAAAACATATAAAACTAATCATATTTTACATACTTTCATATAAAATGTTACTAAAAAGATATTTTGTTGAAATATCTGCTTTGAAATTAAAACTTCTTTTTATCAGTATTTCATTAATTTTTGTTAATTTACGATTTTTACTGCATTCACACTTGAAAAAGTATACTTTTGTTTGAGTTTGATTTCCCTTAAAATGGGTGCATTCACTATTTCCTCTGCAGGCATCCATTTGTGCTGATAAATGACTACATACTGAAAGTGGAACAAAGACTACTTTATTAAAATTTGGCGATAAATTACTCAAAATAAATACAATAACTACAGAATACAAGTATTTGACATATATGAAGGCATATTGGTTATAAAAATTACTCTCGCGACATAACGCCACAAGTAGGTTTTATCTATTTGAACTTGTATAGCAAATAAAAATTATTTTGAGTAATATCATATCAGCAATAACATTGTTATTAATATTATTAACATTATTAACGTTAACATTAATACAAATCAAGTTTTTTTTAAGAATGTTCGTATACGAAAGCCGTACGTCGTAATTATAAATTCATGTTCACATGAATTTTATTTTCTTATATCTTATCATAATTATTATTAAAATACAAACTTTTTAGATTAAATATTGTTTATAATATCTATGGATAGTCGAGGAGAAACCCCTTCTATTAAATTTTTAACACATGTAAAACGGTGAATAAATGCAAAGGTTTAAAAAATAATCTCTTGAATTGAGTACCTGTGCACTCTGCTTTTGAAAGAACAGTAAATGTTGATAATAGTAATACATACATTTTCCCATTTTAAAATATTATCTAATTTTGCATTTGTAACTATATTCATTTATTAAGAATTGTCGGATATACTTCTTTAAAAATGTAACGCAAATACTTTTCACAATATTCAAATGAGGCCGATTTTACGTCCCGAAGACAGTGTAGAAGATATCTACATAAATGAAAACCTGCAGTGTAAAATTGTTATTGACCCAAAAGTTACTTAGGAAATCACAAAGATTTCTAGAAATACAAATAAATAAAATATAAATCCTTATAAATGTCATTAAAGCGATTTGTTTTGTCCAAGTGGTTTTTGATACGTAAGGCAATAACCCTAACCTAACTAATTAAAATGTAATTACCGAACACTATCTTCGGCACACTTCAAAAATATTCAAAAATATCAAAAATATTAAAGGCTATGATATACTACAAATGTGAAGAAAGAAACCATCAAGCTTCTTTTCTGTTTCTATACACTGATCGCAATATACGGTGGATGTATTTACATAAAAAAAAATGGCAACATTAGATTATTATCAACATTTTCTATAACATATTGCTAATGTTTTTAAAACATGGCTATTGACAATTATAGTATTGAAAATATGTTATAATCATGAATAATCGTTCAGGATATGACCCTAGTCATGTAAATTTGCTAGCTGCCAACATAGGGCGTCGATGGTCACTTTCATAATGTAAGCATGTATAAGTATATATAAATTTTCCAACCAAACCCCTTTCAACTATGATCGGATTGCAAAAATTATGTAAAGTGCTGTATTGTCATTAAAAAAATACAAATATTTTCCATTTAATGATTTCCTACCTCTTTATTTTATTTCTTGCTACAGTAGTACTCCTTTTCTGCTATAAAGATTTAAATCAATACTTTAGCAAGACAGTAGTGGATCACAATGGATGTGTTGTATTTAAAATCTTACCAAAGACTACTACCGAGAACTACATTCCGTATTATCAAAACAGGATTAACCACTGTTTGTAAATCTTCAACTTTTTAACTGGAACGACTTTTATGCATACTATTTATCAAGATTTGAAAGCTTCTCGTTTCAGATAGATTTTCACCACCCAAACATTATCGTGTGTACTCTATGTTGATATTTTAAAAAGCATATTGGTGAAACCGATCATTTAAAGCGTAACACCTAGCAACAAGAAACCAATATGTCATCAAACTGGTGAAAGATCACTTGATATATGACGATTCTAACATATGGTTCATGTCAATAATGGTGGGCTTTTTATGAATTGTTTGAAAACAACAGAACACAACAAAAATTTTGTTTCAATTTTCTAACTAAGGAGGATATTCCATGTGAAACACAATAACCGATATTTCCATACCGACAACATGTAACACACATGCCATAAATTCCACATGTAGATGCTACATGGAATTTTGGTGTAAAGATTTAGAAGATGAAGATTCAGTTCTTAATCTGATAGTTTACTTAAAATAGTTAATTAAATTGTTAATATATTTTTAAGTAATTAGTTTAATTGTTATATTTATATTTTTAATTTATATTTCGCTTCATTTAAATTTATTGTATATTCTCGTCAATTATATTCAAATTTATTTGACATAAAAATGAAAATTTATTTGATGTCAGGTATATGCTCACACATAACTTGTTAGCGCCTTTTTTTTGTTTTTGTTCGCTTTTTTACGCAATTTTGTTTACATCTCTCTTTCTATTTTTGGTTTGTGTTCCCGTTTTCATTTATATCATTCTGTTTACAATGCACGTAGGCACTTTCCAATCCATTATAGTAAACATTTACAGCATACTTTTTGCTGGAATTTCATTCATTCTTCTCAACGTTCATGATTCAGCAGTTGTCCTTTTCGTACTTATTTGTGTTGTATATACCTAATTTTATGTTTTGTGTCAGATTCTACTGTTTTTATGCTAGAAAACAGCTGTTTTTGTATGTACTCTCTTCATTTTATATTATTATTCATTTTTCATCCGCGTAGAGCGAAAAAAAGCATTTGCAAAATATTGTTTATGTATGGAAAATGTACCGGGTAAATAGAATAAACATTTCTCAGTGATAAATTAATAAATTTTATACACATAAATATTTTATTAATGAATTACAAATTTTACACCAACAAATGCTTATAAATAAGTATAATATTTAAATTTTCTTTTTGTTAGAATAGAAAACAATTTAATAATTGTTTACAACATAACAAATAAATAATCTTGACGTAAAAATTTAAATTTTATGTCCTATAAATTGATAATATTGAAATACCAACATATTAGAATGATTTTCATTTGCGATAGCGATTCAAAAATTTAATTTTCACTTGTGTAGTTATTCACAATAATATTTTCATTCACAATCGTATTTATTCAGAGTAATTAAAATGTTCTTAATAACTAAAGGCAATCTTTGTGGATGTTATACTGTGATTAATTATAGTAAATATTTCCATATTCCATTAAGTGCAGGTGGCCAAAGTATACGGTGTTGACTTCTGATATACATATATATTGTATTTTGATATATTAAATAACAGTAGAAATAATAAAAATAATTGCTCTAACCACTTAACATAGACTATGTGGGCTTCGTACTATACTTCTGCTAATTCACTTGAATAACATATGATAATTCAATGAAGCTGTGACTTATCCAATTGGTCAAAGATTTATTATTAAGAGAAGTTGTGGCACGGGTCTATTGTGCCCCCGTGGTCAAAGATACTATCAAGTAAAGTGCTCCGTTTTCCATCATTTTTACATTGATGCAGTTATTGTTCCAATAACTGATTTACAATATAATTATTTTGACTTAAATTTAAAATTAACAGCTAATGTATTTGATAATAATACAATGCATTCTTTAATAACAGATATAATAATACTTAATTTATTTAACAAAGAGTTTATAGAACCAACTTTCCATGTATGCATATGGCATTGAACCGATTAAACCAGTGCACAGAAGAAGCTTTGAAAAAGAAAAAGGTAGTGGGAGATTAACCCAAACACTTCCAGTTTTACAAGTTTAATATCTAAACTACTTTTACAAATGATTAGAATAAGAATAATTTAAAATATATATCCAAAAATGTACTAATATTAAACTCTAAAACAATCAATAATTACGTTTTTGACTAAGACAAATCTTCAATATTTTTTGTTATAGTAATTATTGAATTTAGTATAATAATCGTTTGATATATATATCATTTATTCAATGTATATTCTAATCTATGTTAGTATAAGATTTTATATAAATGTAAGATATACGAAATACCTAACTGCCATCTAAATTATTATGCATAATCTTACATTATTTTTAAATCATGGAACATAGCTTTTCAAACGTTTGACAACACTGAACGAATATTTATTTGAAAATTTTATTTATTTTTAAATGGCATTTTTAATGTTTAAACTAAACTAATCGTTTGCAAATATTTATCTACTAAAAATGAAACCAGCTATAATTCATAATATAATTTAATTTTGTTGACGCTTATCGATAAATGACCTCCGCAATAGCAAGCAGGAGATACATAAGACAGGCACAGCTATTGTTAAATTTTGCATCTCATGCACACATCAGAGTTTGTAATATAGAAACCGCTTAAAAAACGAAACACAAAAACTATAAACAAGAAGCAACAAGAGAAAATAAAAGCGTAGAACTGCTGATAAAATGGCAAAAGAAACAGAAACAAGGAGCAAAAGCAAAGCAAAAATTGATATACGAAAATTAAAACGTTTACAGCCATTTTCAAAATCAAACGTAAAGTGGGCAAATTTGTGTACGGTTCAGAAAATTCGATCCAAATTTATTTTATTATAATAAATTAAAATCAGTTTTTTAATAAAATATTTTAATAAATAAAGATTAAAAGAATAAACTATTATAGTGTCAAGTGGTTTATATTGAAATATAATTAAGTGAAGTGAAGATATTGACAATAATTGAATAATTTCAAGTAAGTGATATGGATTTGTTAAATTTTAAATAAATATTATAAAATATAAAAATCTGTTGAAAAAGACGCTATATTAGCAACTGACCCTTTTAAGGTTTTAACAAAAAGACAATTCGTATTTACGCTTTCCCTTTATAATATTTCACAATGTGAAGAGACGCCGCTTTATTTGAATTTCAAAAATTTGTGCACATTAAGTATAAAATAATTTTTTAATAATAAATCCAAATATTGGCTTTCTTAATATTTTTGTCAAGGTTTTTATTAGTTTTTGATTTTAATTTGTTCATATATATAAAAATGTGTATGTGTTTCTATCAAGTGTATACTGAGAAAAATACATTTCATTCTTAATTTAGAATTTTAATATATATGGAATATATGCATTTACTTTTAATAAAATCTGTGTGACATTTAAATGTGTTTTAATATGACATTAAAAAAAAATGTTGATAAATTAAAAACCTTTCCCTTTTCATTTGTGAACATATTTCTCTTTCATATTCATATGATTACTTAATTCTCGACACAAGACACTAAAAAAACAGTATTTCATTAACCATGGCAACCTACATAAATATTGTGCATTTTATTTTTCTCTTTATCACGTATTATTTTTTTCTTAATTTTTTGTTGTTATAAATTTATTAAATTACTAAAATTAATTCTCTGCTCAACGAACTTGAGTGCTCTGTTGTTGGCCTATGTGTAGAGTGTACCGGGTTTCTTGGCTATACTTTCACGAACTTTAATACTCATCGAAATACCCCTATATGAGTATATTGTGGATTTTAAGTAATACCTATTAAACCTGTTCGATTTAATTTTAGTTTTAAATTTTATACTTTTCTGCAAAATAAACAAATAATTCTGAATGCTTTATTTTTCTCTGTATGAACAAACAATTCTACTATCTTGTTTTTTTTTGTGTGTACAGAAACGTATATACTCCTATGTGCACACAAAAGCCCCTTAATTTATAATGTATTATACAAATATACTTAAAAATTTAATTACACTTTGCAATCGCAAAAAAAAAGCTCTTCAATTTCTTATTGCAACTAATTCAAGTACAGTTTTCGCGTATTTACTGCAGCAACCCGCGCACACATAAAATCAACCCAAAACAACAACAACAAAAACTACACGACTAAAACGACATAATAAACGGGTAAAAAGAAGTGGATTGTAAAATCCATTAAACAAAAAAGCTAACATAATTTTTATGAATAAAGTACAATGGAAACTAAAGTAAAAACAAGAATTGTTTGAGTACGCAGCCAAATAGGCATATGTAAAACGGAATTTATTTTATATACAAACACGTAAGGAGAGAGAAGTATAAGAGAAGTATAGCGTAGCTACAGCAGTGTTTCAGACAAAATTTGGAACTTCTGATATGATGAGAGTGAAAAACATAAAAGACAACAACTAACAAATTGTTAAGCTATCTATAACTATTAACTATAAAAACACAAGAAAAAATGTTGTGGTTCTGAAAATAGTTCTGCTTTTAGCAAAAATATCATTATAAATTATATACATATTTTAATAAATTAGTAACATAGTAATTGAAGATATATGAAATAATGCTTAAACTAGGTTTATTTGAATAAGATTTATTTAATTAAACTTTATGCTTGTGTGTAGTTTAGTATACAGCAGCGCGGCCATGAACACAAATTTGCACATATGATATCTGCAACAATAACAATAATAACTGCCTGCCTAAAAATATTTGACATCTATGCATATTCAGTGCTTTAAGGTTGGTTGATTACACAAATATTTAACAGGTTTTTAAATGTGTGTATTTATATTAGTGCCTGATATACACACTAAAATATTATGCGCAAAGCCGGATATGTTATTTGAAAGTAGATGGTGGGATAAGTGCATAAACGTTATGAATTTTTCAAATATTCAAAACAATTATTTTTATTTTTATTTAATTTCACTGCACTTATTCTACTAAAATTATTTGTTAACAACTGATATTAATCATCTAAAAACTAATTTAACCTCAACAATATATGATTTCTTGATAATAACCAATAATGTTATTAACACTTGAAAATTTTTTTTTCTAAAATATATTATGTTTAGTTTTACATTTTAACTTTGTAAACAAAAATTATGAAATTATGTCAACCCTCGCCATCGTGGAATACACACCAACAAGGTGCATACGCAAAATCGTGCAGACCAGTTAATTCCCAGGCACAATATGATAATAGTTGTCAAATTACCCAAATGTAATAACTAAAAGAAAACGCAATAACAAAAGTTGAAGTAAACAGAAAGAGATAGTAGTGTTAACAGCGAATACAGCGAATTTACACACAAAAATTACTGACAAAACAAGTTTTGTACTTACACAACAATAACAACAAAATTAACTTGTTTTGCGCCTTTTTTGTTTTCCCTTTCATACACAATTTTATTTAACTCTGTCTTTTCAGTGTTCTTTCTTTCTTTAGTAGATTATATTTTTCATATGTAATGTACGGTTTTTTGTGCACGTACACAAAAACACAGTGCATAATATACACATTTTTTTTCTGCAATTTCATTGATTTTCTCTTCCATTCATTTTTTTTTTTTTATTTTGTTATACTTTTCTAGTTTTTGGTGTACGAAAAATACCTTGTTTGGTTTTATGTTTTAAACAAGATTCTTCTCTGTTTACAAGCAACAGAACAGCTGCTTATCTGCATTTTGCCTTCTCTACAAGTTTATTGTATTTTGTTTCGTCGCTACAAATGCTAAGTGGTAAACAAAGAGTGTAGAAATATAAAGATGTGCAAAATATTTTTAATACATTTGCGAAAGCAAGAACTAATACATGCATACAAATAATGTATATTATATTTGGGAGATAGAGATAGCCTATGGTTAGTTAATATATTAAAGGAAAATAAAATAATTTAATTTAATTTAAAAAAGAGAAACGTGTGTTTTTAAAAAGATATTATTTTAAAATACATTGAAATATATTTTATGTTATTTCTTATGTAGCTTTCTCTATCTCCACTTTTTTGTTTACGCTTGTGCGCATATTCTTTTCTGTATTGTCGGCACACTTCTACATTATATATGCGCTCTTTTTTTGTTGTGTTTTGTTGTACTTTTGTTTTTCATTCTTGCTTTATGCATCAATTTCGAAATCTGTATTCAGTGCTAGGCTCAGTTTTTCTTTTGTATTAACAGAGTTAGGATGCGTTTTTCGTCGTGTAGATTTTAATTTGATTGTGAACATAGCAGAAATATTTTAAGTTTCATTTAAATATATATAATGATATTGAGGTGCACTTACAGAATATAATTGTTTTTCCGTGTTCGGTTTTAAATTTATTTAATTAATGCAAAAATAAACATTTTTATTTATAAAACAATAAATTTTTGCAATTTTAGGTAATGAAAGTTTTTGGTGTTGTTGTTTTTTATTCTTAAATGTGTAATTAAAATGTTTTAAATATAATTATTATAAATTTAAAAGAAACTCTTAATCGACAAAAAAAATAAAACCAGTTTCAGTTCATATAAGTTAATGCCCCGCTTGCACACTTCCTCCCCAAAATTTTACTGCAACTGCGCTAAATTTAGACATCCTAAATACAATAAATTTTATGTACATGATGACAATATATTTAAACCGAAGTGTGTACACCTTTGTAGATTACAATACAAAAAAAAAAAATAACCAGCCAAAAGTACAAATACAATTGCGTGGGTATTACATATACTCAAGAATTACAAAAAAAAATGTGTCCACACAATACGTCAATCATTAACTTTAGCATAGAATTATAGCAAATCATTTACCGGCTACAACTAATTGATTTTGTGTTCTTCTGCATAAAATTATCAATTCGCCATAAATGCAATTTTACCTAAAACAAAGTTTTAACGTTTGGCAACACTAAAGATAAAGAAAAAAAATTTGTATAAAAGCAAATAGCATAGCAAAATACTCATAACTGTGAATGTGTTAATTTTGTAATGATCGCGTTTAATAAAAAGAAACATTTGAAATATTTGTTTGTGTGTGAGTGAGAAATTCTTTACACTGCGTACTTGTACATAGCAACTACAAAATCATTAACTGTTTGAGCACGACGTGTACTGTGTACTGAAAAGAGGGTTTTGGATTTGGATTTGTGTATTCAAAAAGCAATGCTGATAATATTCCCGCTCTTTTATTTTCTTGTTTTCGCTTTTATTCTTAAAATATTTTTGTTTATAATTTGTGGTGGTAGTTTGATTTATTTTTAGTAAAACACCTTTTCGTCGTTCATTGTATCAGTCTGTTGCTTTAATTCTGTTATCCGCGAGTTGCATATATTTTTGTTGCTGGAATGTCAAGCCGTCAAAGTCTTTATGTTAAAAATAGATTATATATATATATATATATATAAAATTAATTTAAATTTGCAACAAAAAGAGCAAACATTGAGCTTTCTATTGCTTCAAAAAAAAAAAAAATAAATAAATAAAATAAAAAATACTAAATTACCATTAAAAGGGAAATTATTTCAATCAAAATTATTATCGCAAATTATATATAATCACAGAGTAAGACTTAAATTACTGAGTAGCTTTTTTTTTATTTTCATAATAATATATATAGGTCAATTTTGAATTTGATAATGAAAAAAAAATATAATAATTTTAATATTCAAAGTAAATGTCAACAAGGTTATTTTTCTCAACAATAATTTTATACTGTAGCCATTATTTATTTACTAAAAATGTCTGCACCTGTTCGCGAAAAAAAAATATATTTATTTCGCTTGCAAGTTATATTTATTATAAAAAATGTTAACTATTATTAATATTTTTTTTTTTTTCTATTATAGTGTTAAATTTTAAATTGGCTTCCAGAATGTATTATAAAGAAGCAAAGAAAATAAAATAATAAATATAACAACTAGTTTACCAACACCAACATTGCAAACAAAAAAAAAAGTAATATATAAACAAATAAAAAAAAAACATTAATTACATTTACAAAAACGAAAAATCATGTTTTCCTTCCACAAACCGCGAGTTTATCGCTCGGCTGAAGGTTGCTGCATATGTCGAGCCAAATCGAGCAGTTCCCGCTTCACCGATTCAGGGAAGTATGAAAGTGGATTGATGAAATGTTTTGATTTAAAATATCCACGCCAAGGTGAAATATGCAATGCATGTGTTCTACTAGTGAAACGTTACAAACGTTTACCAGCTGGCAGTAATCGTCATTGGGGTCATGTAAGTACATTAATCTAGCTTAACATGTTAATTAAATAATCAATTCCATTCCAATTCCAACAACAGGTTGTTGATGCACGTGCTGGTCCTGGTACAAAATCCTTAACAAAACAGAAGAAAAGCAAAGATGAAGACATGCCTAGTACAAGTAATATTTCTTCAAAGCAAGCACATAAAAATAATTCATTAATACCAGAGAGATTTGCAAAAATATTTAAAAAGAACAAAAAAAGTAAAATTATTTCGAGTCCAAAAAAAGAAATGAACAAACGCAAAACTACAACTAATCAATGGGAACATCATTCTTTACCTACTTCACCGGATTCAGTGGATAGTGATTATGAAGATAGTCGCATGGAGTCGGCAACAGCTTCTAATGTGCAATTTCAAACACAAACGCGCGCATCTTCATATAGAACACGTAGCAATACAATTAATTTAAATTTATCCACAAAAAGAACCGGCAGCAATAGAAGAAAGAGTATGCCACCAATAAAAAATCGCCGGCAAATTGATAATGTGCAATTTTTTGATGAAACTCATTGGGAGGAACGCAGATCTTGTTGTGGTTTATTTTATGAGTGTAAAGATTTGGCGAGTTCAGTTATAGTGGATGTACTACACTATAGACAATGCTTGGAACATCGCAATATGCACACAGAAAATAACATACAAACAAAAATGCAACAACAACAACAACAACAGCAACAACAAAACAAAACTAATATGTCAACAAATGTGCTACAGATAATGCCTTTATCAACAGTCACAAAAGTTCCAACTCAAAATACAAATCCAACGCCAGTGTTAAAGAAACATCATTTATTTTTCAAAAGACAATCGGAAAGTTTTCCACATGCCGATATTAATTTTATCAATTTAAATGAGAATACAAAAATGAACTTAAAGACTGAAGCAACGGCAGCATTAGCAACAAGTCCAATGGAAATTTGTGTAACAACACAAGCGGCAACGAAAACTACAACAGCAAATATACCTGTGAATTCTGCAATTGCCATTAACTCAATAAACTCAATAAACTCAATAAATGTGACAAATACAGCAATATCTACATCGAATCAAATGCCAAAACATTCTATTGCCAAGGTAACGACCATACATACCATGCCGACAAACCTGAATAATCATAGTAATAACGTCAATATTGTTAATCAGACTACAACACAAGCTCAAGTTAAGACACAAAATTACTTACATAAAACCAAATGCGATACTGGAAAAATTGTTAAACATTCCGTAGATAAGATTAATACGGGAGTGCATATTAAACCATCAGATTTACAAGATATGAGACATATTATAAAGACAGTAGATAAATCATATGTGCTCGCAAAAGGCAATCACAATTCACAATATGCGCAACCTTTAACAACATCCACAGCTACTGGAGTAGCGACAAATGCAACAAATTCCCCATCTACGTCACCTGCAACTAAATTCAGTGATAACTCATCAGATTCTGGTTTTGATGAAAATATACAAGATCGTAAATCAGCAAGTCCTTTGGTAAGTTTATATCCTTTAAATAATTAAAAGAAAAACTTCATTGAACTAGTTTGTTAACTGAATTGCATAATTATAATATATAGTTAAATAATATAGCAACATAATAAGTACGTACAAGGTATTCTCCAAAGTATACAGAATTTTTAAAATAGTCATTTGTAGTAAGATTTTTAGCAATTACATGAGTCAAAACGTCATAAGTACAGAGTGTACATATTTCAATACGAACATAACTTCTTAATAATGTTGATTTATAGTGAGTCTATCTATTGGTAGTTACCTGTTGGTATAGCCACATAGCTGGGCATCTCAATAGCATTATGTACAGTAGAACCATCGTATCATCAATATATGGATACCTATTGCAATGCTACTGAAATTAGTAAGATCAAATATAAAAATGGATAAACAGATATCCACACAGATGCAGTATTATCTTCGAGATCATGTTTACACTGCAACAAAGTTCCTAATAATATCTCCTGTGAGAACGATGTCTTCCACGTGCAGTAAGAACTGTCTTAGTTCAATTGAGATCAAAATATAGCCGTGTCTTAAACAATTATTTGGTCACGCATTAATGTGTCAACATTCAATGTGTGTCCGAATTGTAGCTCTACCCCTATGATGTTTTCATGACCCAATAGCTTCAGTCCAATTGATCGTTGGTTTAATCGTCGCCTTGAGAAAGGTTGATTTCAATTAAAATCCCATGATTTTTTAACGAATAGTTTTCCATTATTAAGATTTCTTTAGTTTATCATTCTAATGCGTGAGTTTCTGAAGTTTAATGAAGATTGAGAAATTAGAAGAAAATTAATAAATTACAAACCACAAAAAGTATAAAATTTTCGGTTAAAAAGTTTTCCAAATTTTGTGCCTCACTTTGTCCAATCGTTAAAGAGCTAGCGATAGAGAACTTTGAATACTTTTTGTAAAGGAGAATGCTCTGTATGTTTATGCTTTTCTTTTTAACATAAAAAAAATAATTTCTTTATTTTCTTGGTTTCAATGGTCGAGTTTAAAAAAATAAACGATTCAATTCTCACTTACTCTCTAAGTTGGTATATGTGAGAGAAAGTTCTTTCATGCAATCAAGCTTTTTAAAAGTTATGAGCAAATTTTATACTCACTTTGGACAACTATTCACTCGCCTCGGGTTTTTTTTTGTACTCTGCACTTTACGCAAAAAGAAAACTACTTTAGTGTATGAGTACCTAGATATATTGACTGGAGATTCCAAACTGGATTTTGTTGTTAATTTTATACTTACTTTGGATATTTATATAATTAATATATATAGGATTTTATTCTACACATTCAATGGAAAAAATATTATAAGAGTCACTTTTTATTTAAATTATTTAATTAATATTTTTTATTTGTTTTTTAGCAAGAGGAAATTGAGAAAAAATTAATTGCACGTTCAACCGGTTGTGTGCAAACAATGTTTTTGGCCAGTGGAGTTCATTTAAAGGGACAACCACAAAATTTAGTTTTAGCTGCTAATGAAACAGCAGCCAAAATTTTACAAACCCGAAAACAGTATCAAATGAATGTAAGTTAATATATTTTTTAATTTTATTTTAGAAAAAAAAAGAATATATTATTAAAAATTTAATTCTTTTTTAGCGTAATAATGTAGCAATTGGTTCGCAAACGGTGTCCACTGTAAAGATGCCACAGGCGACAACTACAACAAATCCAACACATACTAAACTACGTACAATATATCACAACAATAGTGCAATACAACATGAAAATGGTGTTACAACAATTGTACCAGCTTCATCACTAGCTGCAACATCTCAAACGGCTGCCATGAACGCATTAGCACCCAGCACAGTTACCATAACACCAGCACCACATCCACATCACCAACAACACATTGGTGCTAATATCGCAGTAACTAATATTTATAATAAGAAATTGAAAGCAACTAATGCACAAACTAATAGCAATACAAATCTGAGTAGTGGCAGTAATAATATAAGTTTGAGTAGTGGAAGTGTGAATGCAATCACTGGTAATGTATCAAGTCTGAATCAAAAAATAATTTTAGTTAAATCTGCAACAAAATACAATAATAATCTTAGCAATATTAGTGCCGTTGCAGGTGCAACATCAGCAACAATTACAACATTACCGTTGAACAATCATAGTATTTGTAAAAACTGACTATAAAATTCATAAATTCATAATTTTATATATATATTGTTATACAATTTGTTGTTTGTATAGCAAAAGTATAAATAATACATGCCCTTCGCACACTTTTGTTAAAAAATATATGAAGTTTGGAATGATGTTTGTAACAGGGGATTGAGGGATTGTAGGTCATTTACATTATTTAACAGTTTTGCAATACCAATTGATTTCTTAGTTTTTGAATTTATTCTATAAATCTTTGTAGACCAAAATGTACCAAAAACAAACAAAAAATCGAATATTTTATTCTAGTATTGAATTACCGGTTAAAAATGAGTATACCTTAAAACTCCAGTAGAAGTGATGTGCATATGTAGCTTCGAAGCGTAGATTTAGGCGCTCCCAAAACCAAAAATGATAACATAATAGTTTATGGTTTCACAAAATCTCGGGTTCTCAATTAAATTGAAAATACAACTATCATTTTATAGAAAACATTTCTTTACCCCGAAATATAGTCTAACCCATATGCATGTAGTGTTTTGTTTAAATAAGTTGCACATTGCTTAATTAAATTACTCCTTTGAGTTATTATTTAAACAGGGCTTTGAACCAGAACTAAATCACAAACTAAAAAAAATCTATACTTTTGCCTAAGCGAAAAAATCGCTTAAAAATAAAAAAATATATATTTATATTTATATCGGTTCGGTTGTAAAAACTTTAATAAAAGTTAAAAGAAACTTATTTATAAAATTAAACATTTTTTATTTTATATACTTTCTATGCTTTTTAAAAATAATGAATAAAATTATTTTAATCATGACAAAAAATTGATTTATAGTACAAATATATAAAAAATATGCACTCGAAACTTAACCGTTATTAGAACGGAAACCCTATAAATTTATCGATTTCAGTTAAGTTGTTAAGGCTTAAATGAAAATTAAAGTTTTTTAACTTTTAATTATAAAAGTAAAAGTTTTCTATTGAATATAAATAAATTAACTATACTTTTTAAAGAGAGAGAATAAAATTATTTTAATCATGACAAATTACCAAATTTTGCAAAACAAATACAAAAAAAAATTATCATTCGAAATTAAACCGATATTTTTAATAAAGCCTATAGTATAGTTAACTATGATTTTTGAAATGAAAGAATAAAATTATTTTAATCATGAGAAATGACCTAACTTGAAATACAAAAATATGCGCTCAAAACTGAACCAAAAATCACAAAACATCCGATATTTTTGTCGAAACGAAAACCGACCCGATATATATATTTTTTTTCAACCGGAACAAAAAATGTTTAACTCAAAGCCTTAGATTTAAATAAATTACCCTTATTATGATTCATCATTTGTTAGTAAAACTTCAATTATATCGTTAATTATATATAAATAATTGTTATATAAAATTATTAAGTGTGTAAAAGGGAGAGTGTTGCTATAAAGCTTCGGCAAAGCCAGAGCTCTCATAATTTCTTGTTTAATTTTAACTTAATTTCGTTTCATATAAAATCTTTACTTGATCAAGTACATTATTGCATTTTCATACAAATATTTTTAAAAGCACTTTGTAAAAAAAAAAGATATATATACAATATATAATATATAAGTTGAACAATCCATGATATATAGAGACAAGAACTAAAATTTAAAATTTTTAAAAATCACTTGAGTTCTCAAAATTATTATAAAGTTAAATTTTAGTAGTGTAATTTAAATATGTATTTAATTATAAAACAAATTAATAATTCAGAAGGGGCGAGTAATTAAAGAACACTAAATTTGTTGATATTATCACCAGACGGAGTAGTTAGAAGGTTGAATTTCTTGTATAATATTTGCAAATATTGTTAAAATTGAATTGGGAAATTGGAAAAGAAAATTTAGGATTCTAGTTATCTTCTTTAAAATATACAAAAAAATAAAAAGATTTGTCAAATAATTTCGACCCAAGATTATAGAGAAAATGTCTATATAATCTTGGGTCCAATGATAGATTTTTTTTTTTACGAAATTTCTAATATTATCAATTTTTTTAACTTCATTTAAGAAATTATATAGACTATTATTATATAACTTCAAGTTGCTCAATTATTGTTTACATGTTTACATAATAATCCAGTAAAAAAAGCACTTCCTATAAATTCACTATCAACATAAGAGTTTTAAATTACCATTATGCATTGTTCTGTTCTGCTATGTAACACGGTTTCACTAAATTTAGTTAGTCTATAACTGATATTTATAAAGCATATAAGTATAATATATGTAAAACCCCAACATCATTATTTATAAAGACATTATTTAAAATGCTCCACTTCATATGAATTCAATTCATATCATTTACGAAGTAAAGTGAATTTCACTTCACTTACTCATGCAGTCATCCTAAAAGTTACTTGAAAACAACGCGAAGGCGAAAAATGGAAAAGTGCTAACCAACTGCACTAAAAATGCGAAACTAAAATAAAAAAAAGCATCTGCAGAAGAGCTCTGTATAAACATTGGAAGAGTGCTAAGCCAACTGCACTAAAAACACCACAAATATAAAAATACATTTTTATTTAAACAATTTCATCATTGAAAATTAACTTAGCAGTAACAATCGCCGTTTATTTTATTTTAATAATAAAATGAAAATTTTTCTTATTAAATTATTCTATACGTGCGCTTATCCAATATGTTCCATTTCATGCCATTTAAACTATCTATTGGTTGACTTCAAACATTTCTTCTATCTTCATTAACATGGGCTAGCTTGATTTCAAAAACTGTACCTTAAATGGATTTCCCTTGTAATCTCTAAGTTGTTCGTCCAAAACTCAAACTATTGTTAACAACTTCTCTCTTATATTGTTGACTCGATTTTAAAAAAGTCGCTAGCAACATGAAATCCAATATCGTTGGATTAAATAACGTCATTATAACGCTGGACCTGGACCATTTCCCACTATGTAAAATTCCTTCTTAAAATATGACTAACATCTGTAATTTCTTCGTATAGCTTAAGATTTGTTTTCTGTTCCCCAAGTTATAAACTGTTTCTGGCTGGTTTTTTCAGTGGAACATTTAGAAAGTCTGCGTTGAATAAAAAATAAAAAGCATATAATATTTTTATATTTTAACTTTAAGATATTTTGTATATAAATTATGTTGAACATTAAAAATTTACACAGATTTTTTATTTAAAAAAAAAAAAAAGAAAACACCAAATTGTTTTTAACATTGTATTTTATTTATGTGTATACAAATATAAGAAAGGAATGCATTTTATCTATACATATTTTTACTATTTTAGAATACTTATATATATAAATACATATATATAACAGTTGTGTGTTAAATTTTAAGCATATTTTACCAGTAGTGACGTAGCCTTAGTATGAAAAATGAAACTGCATTATTAATTAAGTTAATTAAAATTAATTATTTGCCTAAGCAAAACTCAACAAGCAATTTAAATTTGAAATTAAAATAAAATTATAAATATAATTGATTTGTTTTTATTATAATTTAAATGGTGAGGCAGAGACACATACCTATCCTACTATATTACAGCTTTATATACCTAAGCATTGAGTTCTTACAGTCACGCCAGTTGAAATAATATAACGTTTACAATGAACAAGGCAATGGATTAGATTCAACGATGCTAAGGTTAATTGGTAATACCAATCTCAAATGTATTTTCTATATGGCGGTCGATGTTAGTATATATAAATTAAAGGAATTTGTAGTATAAAGTACATTAATGAATACAAGACGAGTGTATCGGTTTATAAGGTGTGTGGTGTAAGGATGGGGATTGTGTAGAATATACAGAAGAATGCTCGTTTTACTGAGTGATAAATAAAATAAGTCAATGTTGTGAATATACAATTTAAGTAACCTTTGATAATTTCTTATTATTTTATTTAGAAAATAAGCATTTGATGAGATATGATTTTGGTTACACTAAACTCAAGTTACGATTTATATTACTTATCAGAAACCAGCGATCGCGAAGACTCGGGTCGGGATGTTACAATAAATCTCTAGAGTGAAGAGATAAGTTCATGAAGAACTTATGTCATTTATTTTCATTGCAAGAATAATCTAGCGAAACTACTGGATGTTAATTGGCTAATGCTAAGGCTAAATTATTTTGTGTTATTAATATAAACACACAGATGTACCTAACATCAGTGAAATTGAGGCAGCAATAACTCAGCTTAAAGCAGGTAAGTCCGCTGGTCCGGACAATATTGCCCCCGAACTGCTCAAAGCAGACAAAATTTCAGCTGCTCAAATTATTCAACCAATTGTCAACAACTTCTGGTCCCAAGAGTCATTACCGCCTAATCTTAAAGACGGCATCATTATTAATATACCAAAGAAAGGTAACCTGATGGAATGCTCCAACTGGAGAGGCATAACTTTACTAAATGTAGCTTATAAAGTTATTGCTCAAATCTTACATAAACGTTTAACTTCGGCCGTTGAGCCTACACTACGAGCCGAGCAAGCAGGACTTTTCCCAGATGCAAATATCGTTAAACAACATCGCAAAGCGTGCACTGGCAGCTGGTCTGTCAATAAATATCAACAAAACCAAGTCTATGCGTCTCAATTCAAACTGCTTAACGAAGTTTCAACTAGATGGCTCCTACATCGAAGATGTACAAAGTTTCTGCTATCTGGGAAGCTACATTTCGAACAACGGCGGCAGTCGGCAAGATATACAGTACAGGCTATCGAAAGCGAAGCAAGCGTTTGGAACCCTTAACAAAATCTGGCGTTCATCCAACATCACACAACGCACTAAGATACACCTGTACAATGCAAACGTAAAATCAACTTTACTATATGGTAGTGAGAGTTGGAACCTAACGGCAAGAGACGCACAACAGCTACAAGCCTTTGTCAATCGTTGTCTACGACGCATCCTTCATGTATTCTGGCCAGCAATCATAACCAATAATGAGCTCTGGTTTAGAACGAATCAGCCTCTTATAACTGATGAAATAATGATGCGCAAATACAAATGGCTTGGCCACACGTTAAGAAAACCCGCTGATGATATCGCAAGAAATGTCTTAGATTTCAACCCTCAAGGCAGTAGAAGACCAGGGCGTCCGCGCAACACTTGGAAACGACAAACTGAAGCCGAATTAAGAAATGCTGGAAAGAGCTGGAGTGAAACAAAACGTCTTGCATTAGATAGAGTTCAATGGAAACTTTTTGTTACGGCCCTCTGTTCCACCTAGGAATAAAAGGATTAAATAATAATAATAATATAAATAAATAAATGTTGAAACAAGTTCATTTCTCAATATTTTACATATAGCCTACAGTCGTTTTTTGAAAATAAAATGTGACTATGGCCGTGTGCGAGTTCGAATAAATTGATGGTGAATTGAGGAAAATTGAGAAAAAATAGAAATTATGTCGGTATGGCAGCGAATGTGGTATTTACTAAAATTTCAAGTAGGGTAAATTAGATAAAAATAGGTATTACCATTGTGAAAATTTTATAAAGTGTTTAATAAATAAATTTAAAAACTTTTAACCAAAAATAATAAATAAATGCAGTAAATAAATAAATAAATATTTACATAAGTGCAGTGCAAAAAATTCCTAGGAAATTTCAATTTACTCGAACTCGCACAATGCCTGAACGTTTTTTCCCATTTTAAATGCAAATAATTTTTGAACGCAACTTTGTGAAAGCTTGATTTTAAACAAGAATAGGTATGAGATTATAAAAAATTGTACATTTTTTTTATTACATTCAAGCTCTACAAACATTAGAACACAAATATTTTCATTTCACTTGTTTATTAATAAAGAAATCTATTCTGTTTAATCAGGACATGATTTTCTATACCGAATTGAAATCCAATATAATTATACATCACTAATGGCAAGTAACCGAATACAAAGCAGTTAAGATTGCTGAATTTAGCGCGCAAATTGTTGCATTCGCGCTAGTTTATATTGGAGTGAAGCGTCATTGCTTGGTGAAGTTGCATACGTTTCAAAAGTGAGTAACAAATTCAATTTTTGAAGAATTAACTTAAAAAATGGCAAGTGAAGGCATAAACATGCAGAACCCGTTATATAAACACAATTTGGTAAATGGTAATCAATTAAAAGATGCCCATATGCAGTCAAATGTTTCGAAAGTCAACGGTGTAAATGGACGAGAACATAAAGAAAACATAGAAGAGGGCAATCCAGATGAACAACAATATCTAAATTTAATAAATGAAATCATAAATAAAGGTTTGTTATGTTTATTTTCTATGAATATTATTTCAAACACGTGACAATGAAATTGAACTCAACAGGTGTTGAACGTTCGGACCGTACTGGTACAGGTACCTTTTCTATTTTTGGCACACAAATGCGTTTCAACATGAGAAAAGGGTTTCCGCTATTGACAACTAAACGTGTTTTTTGGCGTGCTGTTGTAGAGGAGTTGCTGTGGTTTATAAAAGGATCAACAGATGCGCAGCTATTGCAAGATAAGAATATACATATTTGGGATGGGAATAGTTCCCGTGCATTTTTAGATAAACTTGGTTTACACGAACGTGAAGAAGGCGATTTAGGACCAGTTTATGGCTTTCAATGGCGTCATTTCGGTGCAGAATATAAGGATCGTCATCATGATTACAGCAATGAAGGTATTGATCAACTTAAAAACGTTATTGATACTATACGTACAAATCCAAATGATAGAAGGATTATAATGTCTGCATGGAATCCATGTGATATACCTAAAATGGCACTACCACCATGCCATTGTTTAGCTCAGTTTTTCGTAGCTAACGATGAGTTATCTTGTCAACTATATCAGCGCAGTGCTGATATGGGTCTTGGTGTTCCATTTAATATTGCCTCTTATGCTTTACTTACGCATATGATTGCGCATGTTACGGGATTAAAGCCTGGTTGTTTTGTACACACTATGGGTGATACGCATGTATATAAGAATCATGTCGAACCTTTAAAGGAGCAACTTAAACGTATTCCAAGAGCTTTTCCAAAATTGCTTATAAAACGTGAAGTAAAAAGTATTGAAGATTTTACCTTTGATGATTTTGAAATAATTGGCTATAATCCATATCCTAAAATCCAAATGGAGATGGCTGTTTAATTGCATTTTTATAATGTTTTATTATTTTTATTTAGTTTTTAGTGTCTATGTTCGAATATACAGTATTTATATTTACTATAAAATAAAATTTTGGTCGTCTTATAAACAAAAATGGTATTTTTTACAAATTATTAAAAAATTGTAAACAGATCTTAGTATAAAGTAGTTGTTTCTAATAATGGCGAGATCAAAATTCTTCCGAGTGTAGCTTAGTTGTTTGCCAATTAAAGCAGTGTTTCTCAAAATAAAGCTTATTGTGGACTAGAAATGTATTTTACGAGAACCAGTAAAATATTTAATGTATTTTTCAAGGACCTGTATCCAATATCTTCCCAAAAAATATCATTAAAGTCGAAAATACAGTATTTTGCCGTATTTGTAGAATCGGATAAGTGAGGCTAACTTTCATACACATCATATATATATGTTGCCGTTATTATTGCTAAATAGAAATAATAGTTGTTGAATTCTTAATATTTTTTTCAGCTGGTGAGAAAATTAAACCACAATGTAAATTGTGAAATTTAAATCATTATATGCTAATTATAGAAACATATGCATTATAAGTATAAAATGACTAAAAATACTTTAATTTCGTTTGTAATGACTCATAGTAATTTATTTTGTGTAATCATTTTGTAACTAAATACTAAATTAAATTAATTAACAGAATTAGGTGACAATTACTACGAATTGATGTTTGTTTTTCTGTTACATTTTTCTTAAATCTATATTATATCTATACCTCTATTCTAATGATTATTTTATCGGGAGTAATTATGTATCGGCATCGCAGCTTTAATATTTGTTTTAATTCCAGCTGGTGCTTTATTCATTTGATTTACAGCACCAGGATTAACACCGCTCATGGGAGTAGGTGGTCTTAAAGCTGGTGGAACCATCATATTACCTGGACCACCACCAGGCATTGGCATAGTGATTTTTAAATTTTTACCCATACCAACAGCTGCGACAAGTGCATGAGTATCTGCCATACTACTTGTTTGTTGTATGCCTATAAAAACAAATATTTTAAGAATAATTTTTCAGACTTATACTTAATATAGTATGTTTTTACCTGCACGTGATGATGAATCAAGATCCCATTCTTCTCGTGCTTTGCTAATTATATCTGCTATATGTGAAACTACTTTATTATATTGTGTGACTTGTTTCATTGCAGCCTCAGCTGTAATATTTGCAGCTTTTTGTTCATTTTGTAAAATCTTCTGTTCGGCAATAGGATCTGGTTTAGTACGTAAATAATCTGGTACAATATCATGTGAGAAAACCGGTACACGGCCCTCGGTCATATTAACCAATGCTTCATCACGTTCAGGTGATAACATTAAAGGTAAAACAGTACGATGTCGAAGCGGCGGACAATTATCTTTAGAAATCGCTTTCGCTAAACCAGTTAACTGTTATGAAGTGGATAAATAATTAAATTTTAAAATATATAATTAGTTGTTTGTGAAATGTATACACTGTTTTATTAAACTTACATGACTAGATATTAAACCATAGTTGTCTAAAAACGTTGACCAATTAATAGTTTCATATTCTGTATCAAGCATTTGTATCATAAAAGTTATAGACAACTTCAGTTCATTTAATCGATTAAGGACTGCATCAAGTGACGCTTCCATTTGTTTTTCTTCTCGATTCATTTTTATTAAGTAAATATTAAGTTAACTATTTAATTACTCTGCGTAATTTTTGTATTCAGTCTTTGACACCAAATTTCAATTCACAATAAATAATATCGAAATTTACAATAGTTTGTGAGGTTACAATAAAATAATTATGTATTGTATATCTCATAAAAATTTAATAATATTCAGTTTGCGACTGCTAAATCGTATGAATATCGCATGATTTTATTTTGCAATCTCTTACATGAATATTTTTGTATTAGGTTTGTTAGAAACTGAAATACTCATTATGCTGCATATATCTCAAAATATAAAAAATACGTAATGAAAGTAAATATTAATAAAAAATTAAAATAATGCGATCTTTATATATGGCACTACTTATGACAGAGCATGTATATAAATAACTATTTGGTCATTATTAGTTAAAATTATAGGTTGTATATTCGATGTAAAAAATATGTACTTTTACTCACATAAAATTATAAATTCAAAGTAAACTCACAATCAGTATTATGAATAAATTATATTTCAATTACATAAGTACACCCAGTAGTTGATGTGCACTGTCTTACATAATCTCATGTATCCCACAATTGTTTAAGTAGTGCAGTAGTGGCATTTAACTTTTTTTGCTATAGTGTAGGTCTGTTCCACGAGCTACTCGTAGTAAAAGTCAAGTAAAACACAAGTAAAGTACAAACTAAGAGCGTAACACAAATAAATTGCCAAATTACGCACTTTAAACAGATTTTCATGGAACAGCTTTGTATAAAGTCTGGTGATAACACTAATGTCGCGCAAATAAACAACACAACAATTTAAATTTAAACCAAAACAGCTGATTCACACATAAACATAAATTTTACTTGAAATAAAATGTACGAGTAAAGTCTGTGTAGCATTTCCAAATTTCGACAGGGATGTTACGCTTTCTCAGATGCTTTGATTTACTCGAAAATTAACTGGTGAAACGCACTTGTGTATTTACAGTGTTACTGAAAGTTACTAGGAGTAGCTCGTGGAACAGACCTATTATGTACCAGGACATTAGTCCTATTAAGGTTTTCACATTTAAAATTGAACTCGGTTTGAATTGTGCAATTGTGTGACTTTCCTTAACATAATTAGTTGTAATTATTTGTAAACAATTTGCAAAAAGACAGTAGCGTACTTTATAAGTGGTGTATATGAAAAAATGATACCGCTAACTTCTTTGGAATCGCTTCATAGATAATTAGTTTCAAGTACAGGGTTGCCAAAAGTATTTATTTGTCTATTGTTAATGATTTTTGAGAATACATGCACAATTTTTATTTCAATGTCGAAAAATCTTTATCAATTATTTTTATTTTGTTGTTAATTACATAAATACTTATATCTGAGGTTTTTATGTATTTAACACTTATATTTTTGGTTTAAATGTTCTGTTTCAATAAAACGTTGAAACAAATACAACATACAAAACTTGCGAAAATATATATATAGATTTGTCAAGCATCAAAATAAAGAATTTAATAACATTTGTAGTACTATCAAAAAGCTCCTAAACTAGTGCTTACTCTATGTTTTTTATATAACGTGCTAACAAAATATTGCAGCTATTAATGTCAATCGTATTAAATTTCTAGAACATGTTATTGTGAATTTGTATTTGAATTTGTGGAATAGAAATCAAAGGAAGGTTACTTTTTAAAACTTTAATTAAGTTTGCAAACTTTTTGAAAATGAACTCGCATTATTACGGATTCGAGAAATCGGTTAGAGGGTTGCTTAGTCGTATCAGAAAACTAGAAATAAATGTTAAAGCTCTGATATATAAGTTGGAAACAGAAAACAAAACTTTAAAATGGACGACATATCTGGATAATTTTAGTAGAATAATACAAGCTGTAAATATTATGTTACAGTAAATTCTTTGAAATCGCATAATGATTATTTTCGTAATTCTTTTCCTTTAAATTAGTTACATAATGTACATTCAGCTTTGAAATTTAGTAGTTGGATCTCACTTGAAGAATTTGTAATATATCCCTTAATGATTTCGGATCAATTTGATGAAGCGTTATTTACTTTGACAGACGGGCGCATGCCAGCTTTCACGAAAGACGTAATGCAAAATGCTTTGTCCACCGAACCAGATTCTTTTGTTAAAGAAAAGTTTAGTCAAAATAAACAAAAAGTTTCGAGTGATTCAGTTTTAAATCGCAAAGAATTTAATAACAAAATAACAGAAGTATTGGACGCAATAGCTGTATACCACGAAAAATCAAAACGTTATAAACGCAAATCAAAAAAGAGTAAATAATGATTTATACACATTTTTAATAGAATTTAAAAATTTAAAAATATTGCTTTTTACAGAGAGAATACAGAAACAACAACGTATTGGAGATGATACCTTGGAACTGGTTACTTTTGTAACAATGGGTAAAAGTTTGAATTCCGAAACCCCGTTACCCGTTGCCAGTTTAGATAATGCAGCTAATGCAGCTATTGCAACTAATGCAGCTATTGCAGCTAATGCAGCTATTGCAGATACTGCAGCCGTTCCCGATACTATTACGGTTGATACTATTACTGAACCTGTCGTAAAACCTCGGATTAAAATCCGTGAATTAAGTAAAAATCAAAAATTTAAGTAAATATTATAAATCTTTGTTAAATAGAATACATCGAAGTTATGCAAACAAAATAATTCCAATAAACATTCTTTAATAAAAATTATATTTTTATTTCGTTGCACTTAAAGAGTTCCCACTAAAAATTTTTCTTGAACGAAAAGTATTTTTAACATCAACTGCTTCCAAGCAATTGGATTCTAATATGGTCCCAATCTTGCCGAAGTAGAATTTACATTCATAAGGCAAAATTTCAACACTTTTAGGAGAGAATTAAAATTATAAAAACATTAATCTAGATTTTGTTTTTTAAGAATGTTAACTTTTATTTCGTGCGTTATTTTTTAGTATAATTCTATACGTATTTCGGCAAATTCGCTTTTGCCTTCATCAGGAGGATTCCTAATCAGGATTCCTAAAAAAAAAAAAAAAAATTTCGACGTAACAACTCAAAAATTAATAACAAAATTATTAATCTAGAACCATAAATATATACAGTCAAACTTCCATAAGTCGAACTTCTATAAATCGAACAAAAAGAGTTCAACAGGGTTTAGATAGCAAATAACACACATAAAAAAAAATTCTTTAACTCGAAGTCTCCATAAGTCGAACTTTTTCTTTGCAAAATGGTATTTCGAGTTATGGAAGTTTGACTGTATATATATTTATATGTTAATGCATATATCTGTAATAATAATATGAGAGAGCTGAACTTTTAAACCAATGGCTCTAAGTAATAATTCGATGGGATTTTCATAAGGGACTAATAACTGGAATTGTCTGTACGTCTTCCTAACCACTGTAGTGCTTATCAGGCAGAGGTACTAACAATCATGAAAGAGCTGTCTACTTAAGCAGACATGTCGTAACCAAAATAAATATAAATATATACTTGGGAAGCTAGGCAGCTAACAAAAATATGATCTCGGTGGTGCTAAGGTTATTTAGCTTACCTGGCCCCTTTAAATGATATAAACACCGTATTTAGAGTGCGCCTTATATGGGTTTCGGGTTATGATGACATTGAAATAAATAGCAGGGTCTTTGTACTTACCAGATGGAGTAGTACTAAACTTCCCTGGACGCAGACAGAAGTGTTATCGAAATACCTCCTAATTTGTTAGTGTTCTTTCGAAAAACTAATTCATTATAATTAAATAAAGGCACTTGCCTCCCAGGTAGATAAATGTGGTCAGAACTTGTTAGAAAAAATTCACGGGATTTTGTGAGTCTACCAAAAGAGCTAGGGCAAGTCTCACGTCGTGACTTGCATAGTTAATAAGTGTATAATTGGTAGAGAAGCTTTTAGGATGGGAATATTGCAAACGTTAAAAATTTGATTAACGAGAGAAACAGTTGAAGACTTGTCCTCTGTTGTCTAGCTCTAATCAGAGCTAGAACGAATTTTTGAGCAATTATATCTTTATAGAAGTTGAGACTTAAAACATTCTATGAAATTATTTCCTGATTATTTTTAGTGAACTCTGCGCTTTGTGATCACCTTAATTGATTCCATAATTAACGGATAGTTAACATTCCTTGTTATGTTAAAATATCACAAAGGATCGTAAGATTTAAGTAGATTGGTCAATTATGGTAGAATGATTACCACCTTAACCAAACCCAACCTATTTTCGGTTTTTTTCTAAATATTAATATGAACAGCAACAGTAAATCCTCTAAAAATTTTTTTCACTATTCTGCACTTTTTTATATGCATTTTATAGTCGAGTCAACTCTATATCGTTGCTATGTGGGGTAGCGTGACAACGATTAATTTAAAATCTGTCGACATATTCATCTGTTATGATATTTGAGGAATAAAAAACTCAATGAAATTGTTCCAATATCAGCAATTTTATATGATAATTAAAAAAAATCAAAAACTATATTATTTTATATATAATATATGTTAGTATTTTTAATTTATTAAAAAACTGAAATTTTTTTGCATTAAATAATATAAACTATTATTTAAGAAATCTATAACTAAACTTTAATTGTTATACTTATCTTAAAATACAAACTAAGTGCATTAAAAAGTAATATATATATATGTAGATATTTATATAATTTAGTAGTGTCAGGTATATAAAATTTATTTTTAGAGTAGACAATTCTATGATATAGTTTATCCTTAAAGTTGCTTTATGTTCTATAAAGATTGGAATATTTGTTTTATTGATTTAAAATCATATTTTTATTTTACATCTAGTTGTTAATGTTAAAAAAATTATGTATTATAACTTACTAATTTCATAATAGTTATAAATTTATTTTATAAATTAAATTAATAGCATCAAATAATAAAGTAAGTTTTTAAGTAAAACTATGAGAGCAAATTTATTTAAATTTTAATTAAAAGCTAGATTATACTAAGTATTTTAAAGTTAATATTTAGTCAGCGTCAGCGTTTTGGATTTCATGTTTAATTTTTTGTTTTTTCGTTGGCATATTTTTTTTCTCATCGAAAAACGTAAACTTATTTTTGCCAATTTTACGCAGATTTGCAGCTGCTTTTACTTTTGCATTGTAAGATTTTTCCAAATCTTTCACCGACTGGATAGGCACTGTCCAGTCCATAGGCGGACTATTTGCTGTCTTTGTGGGATCTTCTGTTGGATTGTAGTCTGGTATTTCAATACCTAAACGTTTACAGACTTTACTCAAGATTTTATCAACATAAGCAGAAACTGTAAAGTCAGCCTTTTTGTCCTATTTAAAAAGAAAAACAAAAATAGAATTTAAATGTTATAAAGTAGTGATTAAACCCAAATAAAATATTCTACTTACGTGTTTAGTTGGTTGTAAGTTACATATCACCAATTTTCCACCATGTTTCTTATTTTTTAATGGCAAATTTCCGCTAGGTATGATTTGCAGTGTTGTGCCTAAAGTGATGTTCACATCTGCTAAACTTTAAGGCGTGAAAATGTAATTAACATAATTAAAATACAAAAATTTTATATAAAAAATATTACTTACGTTGAATGCATATGTGCCATATCAAGATCATTTTCTGGAAGATCATGTTCCCAGTCTAAAATATTATCTATTAACAAGCCACCACGACATGCACGCTCTTTATTTGCTCCTGCGCGACAGTTACCGCCGCATGGTTTTTTACCAACTGTTGGAGCTGCACTTGTGCGCACAAATTGTCGGAGACATTTGTTACACTGTTCTACAAACATATTACCATGTAGTTCGGCTAAATATTTACGTGCCAGACCAGATTTTAAATGTAAACCATCTATATTTTGACTAACAATATATTTGACATAACCGCGCTCTACTAGTGCTCGCAATGCCATATGCGTTTTAGTAGGAGCCGCATCATTGAATGATATATTGATGTTGGGTTTTTCACCCCTTTCCTCTAACGTCCAGACACCATTTGGACCTCTGCAAAAATAAAGTTTAAGCCAATTTTTCTTTACTTAAAATTTACAAAATCTTTACCTAAAATCTGGTATACCAGCACTTGTGCTTATGCCTGCTCCAGTATGTATCACCACATATTTGGCTGTCTCCAATATATCCACTAGCCTCAAACATTTTTTTTCCAATTCTTCATCGCTATCGAAACGCTATATACACAATTTTTAATTAAAATAAAATAAATTAATTAAAATATTTATAAAAATGTGTTTAATTTTACCTCTGGTAAGCCCAGTATACCCTTATTGTGGTACGGACTCAAGCCTTCAGCATAGTTACAACTCATTGTGTTAATTGGAAATGAACGTTTTCACAATTTAAATATTATTTTATGTATTTATATTTAGCTTTTCATGTTTTCATCATTTTTCTTTACACAATTCGTAAACAAGCGAGATTGACAGTCGCGGTCGCGTACTACTTTGCAATAGATAATGCGCTTTAAATGGGAAATAAAAATGTTAAATCTACTATATACTAGTTTCACACCATTCACAGTCATAGGTTATTCATTTAACACAATATTTGGTGTTCCAGTGTCAAACTTAATAAATAATATATTGAACAGTTTAACATTTGTGGTAATAACGTCATTTAGATTTTTATTTACTGTTAATACCATTATTTCCGGTTGATGGAAGGCATTCTGACAAATTTCAGCCATTAGATTGTAAAGGTCAAATCTTGAAATTCCATTTCAGGCTATGTGCGTGTTCGAGTAAATTGAGGGAAATAGTAAATTATGTGGGTACGAAAGCGAATGTTGGTATTTACCAGAATTTCGAGTAGGGTAAATTGGATAAAAATTAGGTGTTACCATTGTGAATATTTTATGAGATATTTAATATATAAATAAATTAATTTGAAACTTTTAACCAAACATAATAAATAAGTGCAATAAATAAATAAATAAATATTTACATAAGAGCAGTGCAAAAAATCCGTAAGAAAATTTCAATTGAGGTAAATTTCAACTCGATTTTGCACACGGTTTAAAATTTGGTTTCCATTTGTGAAATTGTTTGCTTATTTACATTTTACATACATATAAAGCATATGAAAAATATTTCAATTATTGGTAATTTCCCTTGTTAAAAATTTATTTTTAAGGTTTGCAGACGACATTTTTCATGTTAAATTAATTAATATATTTATAATGAGCTCATTTATATGAAAGCTATGGTAAATCGTCCACATTAGCGGCTTTAATGAGCAAAATCAACTAAAGTAAACAGTATAAATGTGCTGTTATCCTTATTAGCGACATTAATGAGCAAAGCCGCCTAAATGAGATAGTGTCAATGTGCTATAATTCTCATTAGCGGCCATAATGAACAAAACTGATTAAATGAAACAAATGAAAACATGTTATTAACCATTCTTTGTTTGTTTACTCAAAATTTTTGATATTGTAAATATAGTATAAGTTTCAATACCATGAGATATTAAATTATTTATGAAGTTGGCTCTGTGTTTACAAAAAAATATTGGCGTATATTAATAATTTGAATCAAAATTTGTTAGCAAGAAGTTCCGTCTAAACGTACTTTCCATTTGTAGCATACTTTTTTGCGTTTCGTAAATACTTGCATGTGAAGAAAAACAATAACAAAACGTACGGAATCAAAAGCAATGTAAACAGGGTATTGCCAAAATCAGCTGATTGCTCATTGCAGTGCTTTTAATTGGTTTTTTTATGTTTTTATATATAAATTTGATGCATCGCTAACAGCCGTGTTTAATCTTACTGAGACGGGAATCAGTGACACACGAAGAGTAAGCGCGCTACGTACGTCGGTGCGGTGCTTGTGGGAAGAAGTCGTGTGGTGTTGAATTCTTTTTAAACTGCGGCATCTTGCACTTATTTATTATAAATACAAAATCGAAAAATATAGTAAAATAAGATTCAATGTAGTGAAAAAAAGTTCTTATAATAATGGTAGTGTCATAGAAACAAAAGGAATCCAAGAAAAAAAGTAAGTCAGTGCAATAAATTTGTTTTTGCTTCTAACAAATTTCATAAGTGCGAAAAAATATGAAAGTTTTTTTTTTTTATTTATTTTGGATAACGCAATTTCCTTTTGTGGCAGGCACAATAAATTTCGGGTTCCCCATTGCCATCGTTTGTTCTTTTTTCCTGTGTTGCTTTCTGTATTGATTTGTTTGTCTTTTGCTGCGAAGCCTTCAATCAAATTTCATTATTTATTATTTAAAAATTAATAAATTTTATAATAAAAATTTTTATATCCGTTTTTTGTTGTTGTCATGGTGCGAAGCTTTAAAAAATAGTTTTTTTTTTTAATTAAAATTTTGATAAGTTTGGGGCTTTTGTTATTTTTGTTTTATTTTTGCTTATCTTAATATTTATGTTTTAGTTTAAAAATAATTTACTACTAAAAAAGAAGTAAACATGAAAGCAACATTTAAAATTTAAAATAATACGAGGGAGCAATCAAAAAATTTCGGGGCCATCAAATATTTTTGGCTTTATGTATTCAGTTCTGCAGAGTATGAGATAGGTTGGACATGTGATAACAATGCCGGATATGAGAGTACCTTTTAAGATTTATGAGTACGACTTAGGAACCAGCAGAAAAAGAGGGCAAACAAAAAAGCTTAGGTTTTAGGTATAGTCACGGATGATGATGTATTCAGTTCTAGAGTATATAGTCTTTTTGCTTCACCACTAGACGAGTTTATTACAAAGTATAAACAGAGGCCATGTATGGCATACAGCTAGACTTGGCTTACCCTGTGGTATCTCCTGCAATGCGAGTCTGCCAGTTCTCGAAGAAAGGACATCAGAACACCAGATGTATCTATGTCCAAGTTTCGCCAGAACTAGGCTTAAGTTACTGGGGCTCCCCTCTTCAACTCAATCGGCGATATCTCTAGCATGAGCATTGATCAAATTCTTGCCTTCATAAATGTCCCTGGCTGGTTATAGCATCACCTTCTTATCTATTACCCACTATTACGAGGTTTTGTGAGTTTAAAACGGATTTTTTTTAGCTAACTGCGGAGTACTCGTTCTTCCCTCCACCACAACTAACTAATTAACATAAACTGAAGACAATTAAAGTAGATACAAAATTACTGCTGGCATTGGTGTAGCTATAGGTTTGTTCCTTCCTGTACTCTTTAAGTAAAAGCTCACTAAAGTCAGAAATGAGAATGTTCCCTTTCTTTTCAAATAAAAGTACAGTAATGTTAAAAACTAAATACAGTGAAATTTCTCATAATCGAAGACTCACTCGGATGTAGTGTTTTTGTCCGGTTATCGGAGAGGTCAGCTTATGGGTGGAAGCACAAAATATTATGTTTAAATTGCAACTAAGGATATTTTGAATGAAGGTGAAGTTTTAACTTCTTATAGTACGATGTGGCGCACAATAGATCTTTTAGGTCGGGGTGCACAAATAGCCTATTTTAAATAATAAAAATAGTACAATGTTATGGGCTCACTTATTTCTTCATTAAATTTTTCTGCTGAACTTATGACCATAATATCGCTTAATTCTTTAAATTGAATTTTAATATTGTCTTCAATGCAGATATTTCTGTCTATTCGGAGAAAACCGTCAAGATCAGTTGCCAAATCGAGTCCTTTAAATTTAGCATAGATTGCGATGACACTCCATCTTCGGGATCAAAATCTATAAGACTTTCATAAATTTTTGAAAAGCCTGCAATACAGAAGCAATTTTTAATTGATTGGACAGCTCTAAGGTTGACCTTGTAGTGTTAATTTTACGTAGCAAGTGTCTTAGAAGTAAGATCCTATTAAAAATTTAAATAAATTGGATTGCCCCTTGATTAAGGGCTTGGCTTGCTGTCGTTGTGTTTGACAGCAAAAACACAATATTTATATAGTTTGTATTTTAATTTATTTTTATAATTCAATTCATTAAATTTTTTATTTAAACTGATGTTAAACCAAGGCTCAAAGTTTCTTAAAAGCTCACCTTACATGTGCTTTATACTTATCCAGCGGTCGTGAGATCGAGAGCGTGAGAGCGAGAAGCTGTCAGATCTCTCCCGCATAATCGCTGTAGAAATCACATGTAAAGATCGCTTTAAAGTTCCCGGCCCAATGCACCCACTTAGAAATCAATGTCAATATGTGACTATATAAGTTAAGTTTAATTCCCTGTGATGAGATGATGTATTATCCAAAAACAAAAGAACTTTTCGATTCTGAACGCTCATTTTCTTATTGAACTGCTGCAGCCATTCATTCCTTACTTCTCGAGTCATTCATGCTTTTTTATTAGATTTCCAATCCACTGGTAGTTCCGTGATATTGCTTGAGGATATCGAGCTGCTTGAGGGCGGGCGTTTTACTTATAACTAAAAGTAGCTATATATATCTTTAACCATGTTTGCACAAAACTAAATTGTGAGATTTCTCTCCAAAATTTACTGCCGATGCATTTTTTGGATTTAAGAGCGAGGGTTTTGTCAGGCAATGCGTGATAGAAAATCGCTTTTTCTGGGCTATTTTGATCGAAGTAATTTATAAATTATAAATTATATTTAATCAATCATTGCTGACTAAAATTAATCATTTTAATTAATCGGTATTTTTATGAATTTTGTCCGTTTATGAGAGATTTTTTGATCAAAATGATTTGAAATGTAGTGTCCGCGTCATGTTATTAAAGCATCCGGTTATTGGAATGATGTTTGTATGAAAAAAATAATGAAAGAACTATGTCTACAAAATTTGTTCAGCTATTGAAGCTGTCGGGTTAAAAGAACTGTCCGTTATGAGGAATTTCACTGTTTAAGAAATCATATATTCTCTCTGAAAAAAGTATGGCGAAAAGTAAGTAAAAATCTAGAAAATTATACCATATATTGTTATTAAATTTCATTTTTTTTTTATAGTCATTATGACGAAATAAAGCATATTTTTTTATAGAAACTATTGTTTTAATAAAAAGTTATTTTTGAACAGAAATAAATTACAACAATGAAATTTTATTATTTATTAATTAAGACATATTATTATTCCTAAAAATTTTTAAATATCTTTTTAAATGTATATTTTTTATTAGCTTTAATCATATTTAGAACAATAGATTTTTATTATTTATATTTCACAGCATGTGAATTAGTTATTATCTATTTTATAATCAATACTTAAATAATATTTATTTTATATTGCATCTATTTGATTTTTATTTTTTATTAAGATCAAGATTTTTTTATTTTTACAAACAATATTGCATCTTAAGGTCATGGCTACTAAGGTCTATATATAGATAGGTAGATTATACAGGAGATCCTAAAGGATACACTGAGGCCTGTAGGCCTATTGTTATTAAGAACTATATATTAAATAATTGGAGCAGTCAATAACTACTTCAAAAGCTGGTAGTGATGCGGAAGATAAGAGCTGTAGAAATCGAATTTGAATTTTAATAGCTGTAGAGTTCGTTCAGAAATTCTATATGCTTCTACTTAGCAAAGTAATCATATATGGCTATGATTATCACTCCACATATATTTCACCACTTTTATACTGTTCTTCGTAAAGTCATTGTGTAAACAAAGTCTACTTTTTTTGTGTTATCGGGTTTCGGTTCGGTGCAGCACTCCTAACCAAGTGACTCTGCTGCTGTACGAATTCTCCATCTCGTACATCAAATTCGCTCCCTTAACTTGACCATTCCATCGTAGAGTAGAGAAGACACGGTCTACAACTACTCCTTCTTCAGCTGTTGCTTCAAACAACTTTTTCGCTGAAGCATTTATTGTTGGGCTATGAACTATCACATAAAGAAATTAACTCCAATTATTGTGCGTTCCTCTTTATTAAATAAATTCGTTCGAGAGAATAAGGCAGAAACGTGTTTCAAATATTGCAAACTATGTAAAGCCGCTGGCTAGACCTCTAATATGACAAATTCCTCTGAAACGGACTATGATAGACTGAAACGGAATGATAGACCTTGCATCCGGCTTTCCTAAAAATTATCCTGTTTAATTCAACTTATGCGCCATGATATCTAGTAAATACGCCCTGACTACTTATAAGCTGTGTTCCTCGAGCTGATCAAAATCCTCAAACCTGAAAGCTCCTAAAGTAAGGCAGCGCTGCCCATTTGCCGAATACAAACAAAGCAGATGGGAGGCACTTTTATTGTCTTCTTCACTCCTAACCAAGTGACTCTGCTGCTGTACGAATTCTCCATCTCGTACATCAAATTCGCTCCCTTAACTTGACCATTCCATCGTAGAGTAGAGAAGACACGGTCTACAACTACTCCTTCTTCAGCTGTTGCTTCAAACAACTTTTTCGCTGAAGCATTTATTGTTGGGCTATGAACTATCACATAAAGAAATTAACTCCAATTATTGTGCGTTCCTCTTTATTAAATAAATTCGTTCGAGAGAATAAGGCAGAAACGTGTTTCAAATATTGCAAACTATGTAAAGCCGCTGGCTAGACCTCTAATATGACAAATTCCTCTGAAACGGACTATGATAGACTGAAACGGAATGATAGACCTTGCATCCGGCTTTCCTAAAAATTATCCTGTTTAATTCAACTTATGCGCCATGATATCTAGTAAATACGCCCTGACTACTTATAAGCTGTGTTCCTCGAGTTGATCAAAATCCTCAAACCTGAAGTGGTAAGCCAGCACCGCGCATTTGCCGGATACAAACAAAGCAGATGGAAGGCACTTTTATTGTCTTCTCCACAATTGCGGCAGGTATGATTGAAAAGGAGCTTCAATTTTCTAGCATATATACAATCAAGCTTCAATCAATCTAGATATACAGAGAATATTTTTATGAATTATAAGATAATTATTTCATACGCTGAAGACATTAGTTCCTAAAACAAACATGAAAATTTCTGGTATAATCTATACATATCATAATAGACTATAACCCAACCTGAATAGTATAGTACAAAGCGTTAATAACTTGCTCGAAATACTATTACTTATATCAAAACTATGATCTATTGCTCTTAGTACCCATGGCTAAGCCAATCCTCATAATGGCAACCAGCCTGATTTTATATTAGGCGTATCTTCTTATTTTGTTATTCCAGTAAGTATAAATAAAAATAGTTTACTTCCTTTTATTGCACTACATTTATGTGTAAATGTATTTCAGGTGACATTTTACAGAATCAGGAATTTATATGTTATGTGAAAAAAAAAATGTGAAAGATTTCTTCTTATAGACCAAATAAATAAAAAATAAAATAATTCAATTAAATTTTTATTTATTTTTAAGCTGAAAAATATACTACTGATATATTTTTATGCTTTTCTATGAATTATAAATTATTGCCGGAGTAGGAATATAAAATTTTCTTTATAGAATGAACTATTTGTAGAAGTTATCAAGCAATAGTAGTTCTTTTCTTCTTTTCATTTAAAGAATAAATTTTGTATTTATTTTTAAGCTGAAAAATATGCTACAGAAATATTTTTATGGTTTTCTATAAATAAGAAATTATTACTAGAGTAGGAGTATAACATTTTTTTTTATAAAATGAACCATATTTATTAGTATAGTTTTTTTTTCAAAGAGAATAGCATCTTATAATGACTTATATTTGAACTATTATCAATTCGTTTATCGTGATACAGAAATAACGGTGTTGGAGCAAGACTAAGATTTGCTAGCTATAATCTTTATTGTAGATTATTCTAATTACATATTAAAACTATACATTTTAATTGAGATTCTTTTGTTCTATATTTGAAGTTCAAAATGTTCAAACATAACGAAAAGTCGGTGTTTAATATAGTTAGCCACTTAAGTTATTATAAACCGGATAAGGCTATTGAAAAATTAACAGGTAGTACAAAAGGTAATTTATAGTTGTTTTTTTTATGGGAATACTTAAATTAATGTGTATTCCTAATCCACAGATTCTTTGAATTATGTACAGCGTTTAGGTTTACTGTATAAATTGCGGGTACATGATGGTTGTGTGAACTCGGTGATTTGGAATGACACGGGTGAATATCTACTATCCGGAAGTGATGATCAATTTTTAGTAATATCGGATCCATATAAACAGCAGGTGAAACTAAAGTACAAAACATTACACTCTGCGAATATATTTTCGGCACGTTTCCTACCGCAAACAAATAACGAAGGCATCCTATCATGTTCCGGTGATGGAATAGTTTTACTTACGGAATTATTATCACCAACAATTAAATTAGCAGGATCGTCTACGACTAATACTGCAGTATACGAGGATATTAATGACATTAATTCGTGTTCGTTCACTTGTCATAAAGGTGGTACAGCTTATGATGTTCTTCCAATACGTACGGATCCTCGGTGTTTTTTTAGTTGTGGAGAAGATGGTACTGTACGTATGTTTGATTTACGTTTAATTTCAAGGTATGATACAGACAATTATTTTCATTTAATTTTTAAACTTCATTATATTTTAAGTAGAGATTTATTCAGTTTATCAAGTAATGATAATGTAGTTAAGAACCAATATATAAAGATGGAGATTTATTAATGTCTGTCTGCGGCTTAGCAGACTAGCATTCCATATATATGTTATGCTTTAATATGTTGTTGTTTTGATACAGTAGGAAGTGATGAGCGGCGCTTGTTCATCGTAACTGACGAGTGCCTTCGGGATCTAGATTCGGTTACTACTGGAACTAGTACAATATGTTAATACAATTCGGTGTTCATTGAAATAGAATATTTGAACTATAAAAAACCAAACAATGATATATATACGTTGAACTATAACTGAGATGAAAAAAGTTTTTAATCAATTTATGTCTATTGCTATTACTAATTTGATTTAATACGAATGTTGTTGTTATGATAACATGTGGTCTATATTGCAGTTAAAATAAAAATAAATACAAACACATTGGTTGTGATATGGTTGGGTAAAGCAAGTATGAAAGAAAAAGGGATTGTTTGGGAACAAGAATGAATAAGGGATGGATAGGATTTTAATTGTAGCTAACCTGAGTCAAGGTGAAAAAACCTTACCACCTCAATAGGAAGGAGATCAATTAGACTCAAATTGGTGTGTGCATAGGACATAAAAAACAGCTAGGTGACATCATGAGGGAAATGTCACCAGTTAAGGCATATATTCGAAATTTATACGAATGAAAAGGGCGAGTGGCACGTTGTAGACTAAAATATAGACCCATACACTTATTAAACTATGTCCGTCTACCCGTTCATCCGTGTATTTGTCTCAAGAAAGACAATTAATGTTTATATTAATCAAAAGAAAACTTGCGTAGATATTTTTCATGAATCCATTGTCTGAATTAGACAGAGAATAGATTAGATAGAGTTTATAAATTATAAGGTTATAGACTCATCTCATATAGTGCCCAGATAAAATAACTATTTAAAATGAACTTATTTTTATAGATATTTAAAAGGAAACTTATTTTATAATAGTAATAGTTAATAATATATGTGTAATACAACATCATACAACATGGTATCACAACGGTTCATTTCTGCTTAAATGAGTTTGGTACACAAATCTGCTATTCTAACTTAATCTAACCTAACATTATCATGTGGCCAAGAAGAAATTGAATTAAAAGAAAAAACATTTTTGACTAAAGTTCGCAATATTATATAAAGTTCTCTCTCTTCAAAAAGCTCTAAAGCTCTTCATCTCTCTCAAAAGCTATTTATAGAATGAGTATTAACAGACACAAAAACTTTTGCGTTGAAGAAACACAACAACAACAATAACAACAGATCAAAAAAGCCGTATTGTAAAGTTCTTTCTCAAAAGGTGTTTGTGGATTTGGTAGTTTTAGTCACAAGAACTTCAAAATATTTGCCCAAAAATGTTGTACTTGTTTAGGCATCTAGATAATTTAGTTATCTCCGCCACATCCATATTACATATTATTTCCAATATCTTGTAAATAATTCTAAATTATCTTTCATAGGTGTCATAAAAGTTCTTGCAAAGAGAATATCTTTGTTTTTAATCAAACTGCGGTAAATTCAATTGATTTATCACCGATTAGTGAAAACTACTTAGCAGTTGGAAGTTCGGATGGTGTTGTACGCCTTTACGATCGACGATTTCTTTCAATAATTGACTTTAAAGAAAATACACCCATTACAAGTGACTATCATACACGATTCGTTAAGGCTTATCCAATACCCTTTAAGACAACACGTCAATTTCGCATAACCTCCGTTAAATTTAGTCAAGACGAAAGTGAATTACTTGCCAGTTACTCTTCCGAATATTTGTATTTATTTGATTTGAAAAACAGTGGTGGAAATATACATGAAATCTATACCAAAGGACAGAAAAATTTCGATGAACCCCAATCGAAAAATTCTCAACATGTACAACGAAGACTGCGTTTACGTGGAGATTGGTCTGATACTGGACCGCGTTCAGCACCTGAAAATGAAAATACTGCACGTATAGAGTATGGTCAATCTAGGCCGTTAGTACAAGGTTCTATTATGACACGTATGACTGAAGTGATATCTCGTTTAATGAATGATCGTTTACGCTCTGGCATAGTTGCCATTGGTGGCTTTCCACCAGATCCAACATATGAACAATTTCCAATACTTCCCGGAATGACCGAAGGTAAATTAACATTTATGCGTAAATAATTTTTTTAACTTAGATATTTTTTGTATTATATATACTTGTAGGTCCTTCCACTTCTGCTGCTTGGCGCATGGATTCTGCTAATGTAAGATTTGGTGTACGAAGTGGATCGCGTAACAGTAATTTATCAACACAAAGTACGCATGACAGCGAAAATGATCAAACCAGTACCACGAATACTGAACAACTAAATACTGAAACTGAAACAAAGAATGTCGATACTAATTTAGTATCAAATATAGAGTTAAATTCAAGTCAAGATTCAAGTCCTCATAGTGAAAATATACACTACGATTATTTACTTATGACATTTAAGGGTCATCGTAATGCTCGCACAATGATTAAACAAGCAAACTTTTGGGGTGATAATTATATAATGTCCGGATCTGATTGTGGCCACATATTTATATGGGATCGATTTACTGGTAAATTAGTTAAATTATTGCAGGCCGATAACCATGTAGTGAATTGTTTACAACCTCATCCTCATATGCCATATTTGGCAAGTTCTGGCATTGATTATGACATTAAACTTTGGGCACCAGTATTGGAGAACAGCGATTTTGATGAAAAAGAAGCTGAAGAAGTAAGTATAAATGATTATTATCACATAGATTATATAAAAAAACAACGCTTTGAGAAACCCTTTTTTTAATGACATTGTAGTTGTAATCCTGTATGTATTTACTGAGTGTTCTGAGTCGCTTGAATAGTGCCCCTTTCTTATGAATCTTAAGACTTCGTTAAATGTAGTCAGCAATATATTCTTGTCTATAATGAATGGTTCTAGTACGTGGACATAATCACTGCAGCTGTGCGATCAACTATCAAACTATTGGTGATTGTTCGTATGGTGGATTATTTGGTTACATTAGTGTGCAAAGTTGATCAAAGTGAAAGAGATTAAAAATATGTATATATATGCTAATAATTCCCTATATCATAACAGTGTATGTTTATAATTTTGTCAGTATCGGGTTATGTTTTTAGTAACAACCTTAGCGTGAAGAACAGAAAGCTGATCTACAGCCAGATAATTAGACCAGCATTACTTTATGGGTGTTTCGCGTATAGCAAAGCTGCCGACTCTACTATCCAAAAGTTACAAGTTGCTCAAAGTCAGGCTTTCCGAAGGCCCTTCAAAGTACCATGGTACATCCGCACGAATGACATGCTAAGAGTCCTCAGAATAGATCCGGTCAAAAAATACATAAGGGACAGAGCTCTGAAGCTATATTCGAAAACCGACAGGCTGCCATACTTAGCACTATCTAATCTCAAAGTAATCACTAACCGCACGAGGCGGTACGCAGATCATAGATCAATTATTGAATAATTAAGAAGATTGTCAGGAATATTCAAATTAGTCAATGAGATGGACGGGACTCTGCAGAATACCCCCAGCTATCATAGAGTAAAAGTGCCCAGATGCACTAACTCGGAAAAGGCTTAGGTTAGGTTAGGTTGTACCGGCGAACCCAGGGGGATCCACTTAGGCCTATAGGCCCATTGTGATACCGTATTATTAGAACCCATGCTCTAAAACCATCTTGAACCTTTAATAAAGCTTATAATGCTACACAGAGGGAGATCTCGAAGTTCGTCAAGATCCTCAAAAAAGAAAGCCCCCAAAAATTTAAGGCGACGCCGTGCATGTGCCGGACAGCGGAAAAGGCTTAACATAATATGAATATATCATAATAGCCTACTAATATCAATATATATTTGAAAAATTACTAAAAGTTTTGGTCATCTGTAGGTTTCCACTTATGCGTTTCGCGATAACATTAATTAAAGATTTATTTTTATATTGATTTTTAATTCAATGTTAAATGTTGAAAGTATTTTTGAAACATAATATTTTATTTTGTTTATAGTTAATGAAACTAAATGCTGTTATGCTGGAACAAACGAGAGATACTATAACAGTTCCTGCCTCCTTTTTAATACGTATGTTGGGATATATACATAACTTACGCTCTCGTACTGCAACACGTCATCTCACTACAAGCAGGGGCATACAAACTATGAGCGAAAGTGATAATGAAGTTGATACTTCCTCACAAACTGATGACCAACAACAGTCAAATGTGAATGACCAACAGCCAAATGCTAATGATCAAGAGTCAAATGGCAGTGATCAACAGTTAAATGGAAATGATCAACAGTTAAATGGCAATGATCAACAGGCAAATAACAGTGATCAACAATCAAATGGAAATGACGTAGAGTTAGCAAATGAATGAACGAATTGAAACTAACAAGAATAAATTATATGTATTTTTTTCAATTAAATTTAGAAATACTAATCATAAATAAACACAACCCACACAAATGTTATATTAATGGATTAACATTATTTGTTTATTTTAAGTAAAGTAAATAATAGCTAAATTACTTATATTATAACATATTTGCATATATACTTAATGTTACCCCAACCAGTTGGTTACAAGCTAATCATGTATACTTTAATTGAAATGAAGTTAAAACAAACAGTTTTTTTTGTTGATTAAGTTAATATTGAAGTATTAAATTAAAACTCTATTGGATTATAAAACTAAACATTTACAGCATTTTGTAGTGCTGTCTTATCGTCTACTATAATATTAGCTGCTGCTGTTGTGGTGTTCGAACTAAGCAGTTGCTTGGTAGATGAGCTGGATGAGTAGCTATCACTTGAGCTACGTGTCGAAGCTGAATTACCACTGATTGGACTGTCAAGCATATCTAAAAGATGATTTCATATCAGATTTGATTTATAGAAATATTAATAAATTTATATAGAAAGTTACCTGGTAATGAGCTAACATTCGTTTTCAATTCACTGACAACACTGCCTGGACCAACGATATTACCAACAGATGTGGACTTTTTATGCAAACTCCTTTTTACTAAACTGTTATTAGATTTGAAACTGCCGGGATTACCTTTTAAACAACCCAATTTATCACTACTTTTTACACTTCTCTCAGGACAGAGTGGACTTAATATCGAATTTTGCGTATCTTCCGGTGTATAATAATCGGAATCTTCTGCATTTATAGCAACAGCTTCAATACTCTCACCAGCACTACTATTAGTTGTATTTGCTGCACTTAATTCAGAACGTAAGTTTTTTTTAAGTGCAATTGGATTTTTCAATTCAGTGGTATCGACTGTATTATCCTCTTCTGGGCTATCTTCAATAGCTAGTTTCTTTACCAATTGTGTTGTTAATGGCTTACATTTACTATTTGGTGATAATAATGGAGACAGTTTTTCATTTTCGCTGTCATCGTCTTCGACTGTTTCAGCGTGATTTGTGGTATTATTGTTACCATTGGTATTGCGTTTGGACTTAGGCAATTTTAAGCTATGACGCTCATTGACAAATTGCACCTTGTCCTGTACTATGCGAGTGCTTAATTTATCATTTTTCTCCATAGTTGGTGAGCTTTTCTGTGTTGTTACTGTTGTGGAATTTTCATTTGGCACATCTGTTTTACTGGCATTAGTTAAGGTGCCCACTTCCGTAGTACTCGTGGATGTTGAGACGTTTTTCTTTGATTTCGAACGGCGTTGACTGCTGGTTTTGTGTGGTGGAGAAGTGCTTTTGTGGTTATCGCCCAAAATGCTACTTTGCATTCCATCAGTTATATCAGCTTGACTTAATCTTTAAGTTGAAAAAAAAAGATAATGTTTAAAACTTTGCTTAGAAGAGGTAGAAAATTATGCTTCAAATAAATTAAACTTAAAATTTATTAGAAAGGTTCGAACAGTAATTAAAAAAAAAAGCAAAAATTTCAATAAATTAATTAAAATTATTGTAGTTGTTTCTTGGTTGCTATTTGAAACCTTTCAACCTATAAATAGTTTCTTTTTGTCATAAAAGGCGTCACATTTGACAAAAAAAAATAACATTTAAATGTTATTAGTACGTAACATTTTTTTTAGCTGATTATCATTTTAGAAATTTTGGCATGTAGTACTTGTAACCATTGAAAAGAATACTTGGTCTGTTTTTTAAGCTGCTATTGGGAGTAACACTTGGTTCTTCTGAATAGTTTAAAGGTAGCCCCGCTTTGTTAGAGTCTTTTAAAAGGAGCGAATACTTGGCCGTCTGAAAAGACGAGTAGCTTAGGGATATAGACCTGGTGACTGTTAGAACTGAGATAAACAATATAGTAGGTAAGTAGGTGAAGATAGATGAGGATGGAATTCTTTTGAATTAGTTAAAAAAAACTGTTTTGACTTTACATTCCTTATAATTTTGGGTGGAAAGTTGGGTATATTACAACCAGATGGATGCATTGATAGTATCTCGCCAATATGAATATTGAAAATAATGCTATGTGAATTAATAAATAAAGCGCACAAAAACTTAAGCCTGATTTTGCATAAATCTGGACATAGATAAACCAGTTGTTCTGGTGTCTTCTCCTCAAGCAACGGTAGATATGTTCGACAGGGCAGGCTCAGCTTGCCTACATGTCGTCATATAGATCAGCGTGATTAGCGAACCATTAGGATCGATATTATCTTAGATATTTTCGATCTACTTCTATGAATTAAGTCAGACGAACTATTGATCTGGTTGCTAAAGAAATGTTAATAATCTGGTTGTTTATCACAAAAAATGGTTATATTGAAATTGAAATAGCAGACAAATAAAAAATAGCTTATTTGCGCGTTTGTTTCCTGCTATATTAGTGTTTTGAGGAATCCAAATTAGAACAATCATGGAGCTTCAGAATAGTACGCAGAAAAGAATGTACTAGACTGTCTGAACTATGATAGATTTAGATAGAGATGGAACAGAGATAAAAAACCAAGGACAACAAATGGCTAATTGTTACATCGTAATATTCTATTTAAATTAAACTATTTCTAGCGCTAAATTATATAAATAAATTTTTCTACTTTACTATTTACACATATATTAAGATGGCATTAATAAATTGCGAATTACCTCGCTCTACCACCTACGTATTGTGGTGGTCCATTTAATGCCTCAATTAAAGACACAGGAATGTAGCCGGGTGGAACATGTTGATCGCATGGTGCTGGTTCGCCAGCTGCCGATGTTGGAGTGTTCTGATGCAATACAATATGTGAGCTAATACCTTTCTGCACAGCACGTATTTGTAATAATGCTCGGAAAGGTGCTCTACAGATGGGACAATTATTAGCCTGATAACGTAATGAATCAGCACATGAGTTGCACAAACACAAATGACGGCATGGTAATATAAGTGTATCACGGGTTTCACTCATACAAATCACACATTCGCTGCCATGATCATCAATTTCCTCATCAATTGAACTCTTATTGACAGCCTGAAAATGAATAAATGTTTTTAGTTAGTCATAAAGCTATTAATAAGTATGTATATATTATAATAGCATTTTATAAAAAAAAAATAATGTAATCACATCTTTTTTAAAACAAAGCTTTACCTTATTTTCAATGCCATAGATTTCTTGCAGTAAATAACAAAGTCCATCGACGAAAATTTTTTGTTTAAGTGCACGTAATACATAACTGCTACTTTCTGGATGATGGTCTATCACACAAATAGTCGTATGCGACTGACGGCAGTCTTCATTGCCTTCCTCAACTACACAATGTATTGCAACTGGATATTGTTCTTTCGTGGGATTATAAATTAAATCATCTTCGGGTATAAGTTGTGGTTTGAATATATGTCCAGGTTGTGAAAAGAATTGATTTATGCCCTTCTCATAATGGTACGTTTCAGACGTTAGTCCTTCACGTGGCGTAAGTGTTACACCACTGGGACTCTCTTCTTCGGTACAAAAATAATAAATGGTTATTGCACATTTAGCATCAGAATCAAAAGTAAACTCAATATTATAACCACAATTATTCACTGTGTCCGCATCACCTCCACCAGTACAAAGTACATTACCATCTATTTGCTCTTCACCAGTACTGATTACTGTAAAAGATTCGATTTTTTTCTCTTGCGGCGCACGTACAAAACGTACGGACTCCTTGCGTATATTGATGAGACTTTTCAATGTTTTTGTTGGCTCGTTAGCTTGTGGTGGTGGGTAAGGAAAAGCTGTTGGACGATTACCTAGAAAATTGAGGTCAGCATTTTCACCAAATAAATATGATTCAGGTTGTGGTGTATCAAAACGTTCTCCACCCATTATAAAGTGACTACCAAAAAAGTTTCCAGCTCTTGGTGGATATTTGTAGGCTTGATTGGTCATTTGATCCGCCTCCTCCACAGCAGCATTGTTTCTGCTTGAAAACGCACCCATAATAAAACCACAAACTGTTCAGCTTATATTGTGTAATTGTTAAATATTCATCATTCGATAGTATTAAAAACACAAAATTACACAAAGAAATTTTTCACTTTTTACAAGAGAAAAATTTTCAGTTTTTGTCTACATCGCAGTGCCAGATTGTCAATATTTTGACAGCTGTGTCGAAATTTTCACATACATATATATTTGCAATTCTATTGTGAATGCACAGTAAAGAAACGTCAAGTTAGCAATAATAAAGTGCAATATTTCTGAAGGAAGATATTTTATAAGTTTGTGATTCACACACATTACTTGGATTAAGTAGCAAAATGACAACGGATGAAAATCTTTTAGATATTATGCTGGGTAATTGTTTCAAATATAATAACATTTCAATGCTTGCATATTTAAAATATTGTTGTTGCATATAAAACAGTACGTGCTACCAATCCAGAGCAGGAACCCGTAGATGAGCTGAGTGTGCAAATGTTCTGTATGGTACTACGTAGCAACTCCCAACTTATACAGAAAGCGCATGAGTTATTGATGTCTAAAGTACGTTCCAGTAATGTTATGGAAGCGACAAGAGCGATTGAGGTAAGCCATCGATATAAAGATATAATTGCTTATCAGCATATTTAACAAAAATTCTGTGCGTATACTTATGTAGTTATTGGAAGAATGTATGGCTAAGTGTGGAGATGAATTTCAACATGAAACGAGTAAAAATGTGTTTTTGAATAATTTAATACGTTTGGTCTCACCAAAATATGAAGGAGCCGAAACGCCGACAGAAATAAAGCAACGAATTATGAAATGTTTAATGCTCTGGACAACAGAATATCCAAGTCGACAAAAAATTGGTGCTGTTTATGAAATGCTATCCAAAGAATATGTCGCGGAACCAGAAAAAACAACTACAATTCTTAATAGAAAAGATAATCTCTTAGGGATAGATGAAGAGAAATTAGTAAATTTAATTAGAAGTAAAGATCCGAAAAACTACGAACGTGCCAACTTGTTGATACAGTGTAGAGTGAGTCAGGTGGGTTAGGCGTTAATATATTACTTTCAGTTCCTTTAAAACATTTTTAATGTAAACAGGAAACGCGCCGAAAAAACTTAATTATGCAACAAAAAAATCAAATACAGGAAGTTGATAATTTAGTTGAGTTACTCAGTCAATTATTAGATAACTATGAAAACGAGAAAAGTAAAAATAATCATCAAGATGCAGATACATTAATTTTGTTAAAAGAACTCTATTTGGATTGTAAAAAACATAAACCGATAATGCGTCAGCTACCGGAAATAATTGAAAAAACTGAAGAGGATCTTATAGGTAAATATATTTCAAATATTAACAAATTATATTTGAATAATTTTTTTTTGTGCAAATCCAGCTGAGGCACTGCAAACTAATGACTTACTCATTGCTGTAATGAAAAGATATAAAAATATTGTTAAATATCAACCAACAGAGACAGTTGAGAGCAATTCGAACGGAGTTGCCGCATCCTCTTTAACTAATTCTAGCCATACCGATTTACTTGCGGACTTATTAGGAGATAAATCAAATGATATCGAAATATTAACAGCAAAGAAGGTTGAAACAGTATCAGCCGAACAAATGAAAGTAACGACGTCTGCTGTTTTCGATGATTGGGCTAAATTGTTTGACGATAAAAAACCAACAGAGAGTGCAAAAAATTACGAAGATTTATTTAGCAGTTTGGAATTGTTAGAACCAGTAAAAGTAGAAGAGAATATAGCAGATAAAAAAATGGAACAGAAGCTGAGTAAACCAGCTTTACGTGAACTACGCGAAATTGATAAGATAAGCGAAGATCTCTTCAAAGAAAATTTAAGCACAGATAAACGAATTGGCAGTTTTAAGAAGTAAGTATTTAATTCGTCGTAAGCCCCATTCAAATAACGCAGTTGCTTTATTTTGAAGCAGACTAATTTCAGCTAGACCGGACCTACACTCTAAATAATCATTATTTTTCTCCCATTTCACGCAGTTTTCTTTTTTTTCTGCTTACCACCCACCAACACCCCATCCTATTCCATGCATTCGTCTTATAATACAATCGTTTCTTGCTCTTTAAAGAGTATTTAAGCACAAATAATCGAATTCACAGTTTTAAGAAGTATTTTATGCTATTAAATTAAAGGGCTCATGGGTAAGCTACATGCTGTTGTTGTAGTAGTGAGAATCTAAAAACCAGATAACTTCAAGAAATTACACGACAAATACATGGATAAGGATGTGAATGAGTAATGGTTAAGTAAGATTGTGGGAGGGAATGGATTGGTGATTGGGATTGGGACTTATATTAAAATCAAACCGGATCAAGATGGAAAAAATTGACCATTTCAACTAAGGTTTGCTGAAGTCGACTAAACTTAGGTTTGTGTGTGTAGCGGGTAGAGCTGCAGTTTGAGCACACAATAGAAATCGACATATTTAGTAGGTTATATCTGTTAAACTATACTCTAAATATGTAACAACCACACCATAACTAAACCTTATCTCCAATTGCATGCAATTCTCTCTTTGAGACCATCTTAATTTATGCATTCATCTTATAATACATTCAGATTATAACAATAGTTAAAATTTTGAATTATTTAAATATTTTATTAATTTCAGAGAACCGGAGAAAATTACACTAAATGATTTAGTGAAGGAAAAAACTATTATACCTAATGCTGCCAACAATTCTCCAAATGATAATCGAGAAATAAAAGAGAATATTTCAGTGATTTCACCAAGTAAAGAAAGTGTCAATCAATTGGATGTTGAAGAAATAATAAATACTGAATCCGAAAAACAGGAGAATAACACTGAAAATATAAATAAAGAAGAAAACGAAGAAGTTTCCAAGCATATAGAAAATGTGAACAAATTAATTTATTTGTCTGAAATAAATATTGAGCTCGATGATGTATTACTTTCCTTTAAGGATCATATATTAACAGTAACTGATGATAATATCATTATAACATTACTTTTCACTAAGAATCGTCCAAGTAAAAATGTCGGTGTAATTGTTGTTTCAGTAACAAATCTAGGAAAAATGGATGTAAAAGACTTTCAATTTGAAGCTAGTGTAAAAAAGGTAATATTTCACGTAAATATTTATATCCAGCCTATATGTTTATATATTAATGTATTATTTTTATAGCCCTGCAAAGTACGTTTGCTAGAACCAACACGCTGTGATATGCCGCCATGCTCACATACTTCTGCTCCAACATCCATTAAACAAGTAATGCTATTATTAAATCCAACTGGCAGTCCAGTGGATGTGACTTGCATTTTTGGTTACAAGCTAAATGAAGATCCTGATCCTGTAAAAGAGTCGATTGTTGCAAAAGACATAGTGTTGTTCGAGTAACATTTCACGAAGTGCAATTTTTTTTATTTACTGAATTTCTAAGAGGAAATTTATTATAATTCAACAGAGAAATGCTTTTGTTATTAATTGAACTGCCGCAGTTCTGTTATAATTCCAGTCAAAGATTTTCAAGTATTACATTTACTTCATATTTAGAAATAAAATTAGGATTTAGGGTCATAGTGTGTAATACAATACTGAACCCTCAAAAGCTCTGTTACTACATTATTGCATGTTTTTTTTTTTTTTTGTATAAATAAAAACAATTTAATAAACAATTAAATGTTAATTTGGTTCTTATATTTATTTCGTGCAATCATATAAAATTATAATAAATTTTTATCAACTTATGGAACTATATTTTGTTTAGTCATAAAGAAATGTATTATATATTATTTTATTTATTTTTAAAAAATTAAATGTATGGTATAATTTAGATTATATTTTAAAAGTAGTTTCATTTTTGTAGTATTTATTTACTTATTCAATTGCAATCTCAACTCCAAACTCCGACAAAGCTATTACGGCTTTAGTTTGACCAGGTTACTTTAGCTTATTTCTACACTACCTATTCCGATACGATTTCATCTCGAAACGACAAAGCTGTTATGGCTTTAGTGTGACCAGTGTATTTTCGTTCGAGATTTTTCTTTTGTAGTCGCCACAAGCGTGCAATACCATCTGAAGAGGCAGTGAATAGATATTTGGAATCAGCACTGAAAGCGGCATCCCAGACCCAATAGTTTTCGATAACTAACTCTTGCCATAACGAAAAATCATCAGTTTTCCATATATGTGCGGTGCCATCGCCAGATGTGGTTACAAGCAAACGTGAATCCGGACTAAATTTGCAACGTAACACATAACGTTTATGTGCTGGAATTTTTAATTTTGGTTGTATAGTGCTTAATTGCTGATTTGGTGATGATACCAAGCTCCATATATAACAATTTCCTTTATTATTTACTGCTGCCATCCAATTACCATCTGGTGATATTGCGACATCTTGCACAGCGGCGTCAACTTCTGGTATCAACTGTTTATGTGCTTCAGATTTCACATCCCATAGATATACGCCACCATTTTGTGAGCCCATCGCTATTTCAACTTGATTTGGATGTAAACAAGCAGCATTCACTGGTGCCTGACAATCAAACATACGTGTGCAATGTGGTGCCGCCGAAAGCATATCCCAAATGCGTACTCTGTAGTCTTCACTGGCTGTAAAAATCCATTTACCATTTTCTTGAAAACCCAAACGTGTTACATTTTTTTGTACACCTTCAAAATTAATAACTGGTACTGTGCAATTTGATTCCAAGTCATAAAGACGTATACACTGATAACCTGTCGCTGCTAGTTTTGTTTTGTCCGGCGAACGATCCAATGCATTTACTTGTGAAGTTTCCACAAATCGCATGGTACGCACACAATTTCCAGTATGCGCTTGCCATAATTTAATTGTGTGATCATAGCCACCAGTGGCTAAAATTAACTGATCAGTTGTTTCCATTTATGAAAATTAAAAGTTTGTTAAACTTATTTAATATGTAAACAATTCAACTACAATAAAAAGACTCGTTTTACACCAATTTAGCGAAAACAGCTGGTAAAATTGATAATACAACATCTCTGTTTTTGTAGAGAATTATATTCAAAATAGTCTTTAAATTTATGATAGCACTGTGAGAATTAACTTTTTAAAGTTGGAGGGTATTAACTATATATTTATACTAAAGTTTGTATCACCAAAAAAAAAAAATATTATTTACTTATAACAAAATCTCCCTTTAGTTTTTTTTCTATACATACATAGCTGTTTTCTATATTTGTATATATTTGCCAATTCACTATAAATACAAATGTATAATATGTATTCTACACATAAACCAATTAGGTATTTTTGATTATCGCTTGTTGTATTTCTTTGAATGTACTTTTTTATGCTGGTAGGCATTCGCTGTAATAAAATATATGTTATTTATTTATAACAAACCCTGTGAGTTTATTTTTTAATTCTGTTTTTAGTGTTTTCTTTCCATAAACACATAGCTATATTCTATACACCAACCAATTCATTTCACACACAAAGGGATTTATTCTATACACAAACCAATTAGTTGTTTTAGATTATCGCAAGGAATATGTGCACTTCTATTTGTTGCTAGCCCTTTACAAACTATAGTTGTATTTATACTATGCTGAAGAATTTTGGGTGACATGAGTATTTAATAAAATAGATAAATTTCAATTTTTCTTGTCGGAAAGAAAACATAAACCAAAACAGGCATATTTCGTTCTTTGGACAAGTAAAAAAAATTGTTTCATTTATATTTGATATCGCAAAGGAAATATATCATATATCATTAAGTGGTAAAAGTGTTAACCCTTTGGGTAATATATATTCTTTATGAGTTAACATAGCATCTGTACTGAAATCAATTGAATTAAACACATTCTTTTAAAATTTGTCTGATAATTTCATGTGTTACATTCTTTATACATATTTATTTATATTTCTTTGGAAAATCTTATTAATAATCTTTTATCGTGAAACAAATAACAAAACTCAAATATTACTCAGTCGTTTTTAACTATTTGATGGGTTAATAGGCTTTCAATTGTCCTAATTGACAAATAATCTGTGGAGTCTTTTTCACCCCTGCGTTGAGTTCTATGATGTCATTTATTGAAAAAATAGCAATGAAATCATTAAAATGCAAAAAAATAGTGATCAATAACGATGCTTATCAGTTCAAAGTATTCAAAGGCAATTATTGCTACCCACACAAGCAATTGAACGTGTCTTTCGGTGAAAAATTTCTATAATACAGACTCCCAGCAGAAAAAAATTGGAATTCAATATCTCATATATAAAGAATATATAAGACAAAAGTTTAAAATGATTAATATAAATGTTGTAACCAAGAAGAAGAATTATCGGTCATACGAGTAACGAGAGAATTAAAAGCAGTATACAGTTTAATATTATATATATTATTTTTAAACTATTTGCATTATTTTAAGTTATTAAGCAATGCTTTTGATTATATAAAGTTTTGGAACTAATCAGCTAAAGCTGTTACTTCATGGTCCAATTGATTTTATTGGTTTAAAATTATGTTTTTGAAAAAATAATTTTTAAATATGTAGTTTTAACTTATGGAATCCAGTTTTTATTATGATTGGGATTATGTGTCTTTGATACCAGAAAATCTTTCTCTATTTTAAGTAGAACTCAAACAAAATGAGCCAATAGGTCTAAGTGGTTCCACTAGGGATCGCCGGTATAACCTAAACAGAACTCAAGTTATTAAACAGGATTTTAAGAACGTTTCAATGGCCATTGAAAGATGCGTGGTTAATTGTGGTTAATTTTTATTTTACTTGGTCTACTTTCTGTCGATAAGCAAATCTTCTATTCGAACTATTCGAAACTTTGAAAGATTTTGTTTATGTGAGAAGTAACGTAAAATGTTATCAGTCGACTGTTTCAACAAAGAATCAATTTAACCTATAGCTGTTACTTACGGCTAAGAAGGCAATTGAGAAATAAGACCCTCTCTTCACTGGAAAAAATTAAAGCCCTCTCTTTACAGGTAAAAATTACGTTGTAAAAATGTTATCATGTCCGTCTTGCTGTAGACTGTTGGAGTTTGTTGATGTGAGGACTGACGTGAAATGTTATCGACCTAATCTTTCAGCGAAGAATCACTTTAGTCTGTAGATGCTACGTATGGCTAAGAAGGCTTAAAGCAGAAATAAGAAGAAGTAAAGCAGTTTATTTACAAGCAAAAATTACGTTGTAGAAGTTTTTTTACACGTCTGTCATGTTTTAGGATGCGGAAGACCATACCCAATGAGAAGACATTAGGAGGCTTTAAGAAGAACATTCTTAGAAAGACCTATGATACACTTAAATAATAAGTTTGGAATTAGTTGGAATGTTATAGTGTATAAGTTATACAGCCATTATGATTTAACCTACTTAATTATTTTAAAATAAATCATTTTACTGGATTCGTTAAGTAATCAAATCATTGAACATTTTTCGGCTAAAAAGTATTCGTTTGTGAAAAATACGGTAGACGACATTCATATATACGAAGAAAATACCAGATGACAAATGATTTAAAGCCACTCTGTATTAATAACTGGTGATGCCAAGCTGTTGATCAGACTGGGTGGCGAATACTTATTATAAAGAAATTCTATAAGATTTATGATTTTATAAGATTTAGATATGCTTGTAGAGCGGAATATATTTCACTGTTGGGATATTTGATTCAAGTCCTTTGGTATCAAACATACACACATCAAAAGTAAAATAAGTCTGGTAAGTAGAGTGATATAATAGTTTCTAAGTACTTTTAATTAAAAGAAATATTATCGCAAATAAAAAGTCAATAAATCTATTGCAAATTTTTAAGGGAAGGGAAAGGAAAGGAAAAGAAATCGGTCTAAGTGTTACATCGACCACTCACTCGTACATTTCCGTTGATGTTATGTTGAATAATTTATTATGGTTCAATTTCACACTGCATTAGAAATAATAAAATATAATAATTTAAGTACCATTCGTTGATATATGTAGGAGAGGAGGAAAGTAAGAGGTGGTTGTATTCGTTTTAATTAATATTTAAGATAAATATAAGCACTTAAGTCAAATGCTGCTCTATTAATTGTCATGCAATGCGGTTTAGACACGGTGTCGCCGATCGTTTCAATAATGCGGCATGACAATGTCGTGGGTGTGTGGAGGAGACACTCTTTAGGCTATAATAAAAATATAATATCATATCATTAGGGGTACGAAAATAATAGTACTTTATTACTATAATTGTGCTTATATATCTATAAAGGCAAGAAATTATATAACATGAACGAATTATTATAAACTCGTATGAAAGCAATCAATTAAGTGATGAGTCGTCAATTTTACGATTTGTTTTTTTTTATTATTCTTAAGAATTCAGATAAAGTGAGTAGATATGAAGTCTAGTTTATTCATAAATTCACTATTGGAAGACATGGAAAGTTTTATGACTCAATTAACATTTAACAATTAATACGTATAAATCAATAAAATTCTCAAAAAAAATCTAATTCATCAGAGTTAAATAGTTTTGTCATTATCAAGCAAAAAATTACCAACAATTTTATATTATAAAGTAATTACGAATAATTTGGAATTCTTAATCGAATTCATAAAAATAATTCCCACTAAAAATGTTTCACATAATATATGTGACTGAAATTAAATTTAAAAAATTTATTTTATATATTCATTTATGATTTGACTTCATGATTTGATTAATATGAGTTTTATATATACTCATATGCAACATACATCTTATGTATATATAATTTATAAATTTAGTTAAATAATTTTTATTATAAATGCACAGGGTAATTCATTTCGTAGTTCTAAAAGTAAACTTAAATAAAATTAATTTGTGTTTAAGATTTCAATTAAATTTTCATTGAAATATATTGTTTAGATTTAGCCATTAAGTATGGATTAAAACATTACTTAAGGATTCGGGCTGCCACCGGCATTTTTCTATCTAAACTTCCTCGCAGGGATTAAGTGAGAGAAAACCTTTTTAGAACTCGGGCTAGCACCTATCTATCTCAACTTTGTTTCAAGGTCTTATTCACATCTATCTATCTCAACTTCCTCCCAGGGTCTAAGTGAGAGAAAACCTTTTTAGGACTCGGGCTGCCACTGGCACCTATTTAACTAAACTTTTTCGCAGGGACTAAGTGAGAGAAAACCTTTTTAGGAATCGGGCTGCTACTGGCACCTATCTATCTCAACTTTGTTTCAAGGTCTAAGTGAGAAGAAGTTTTTCCAGTATTCGGGCTGCCATTGGCACCTATCTATCTCAACTTCCTCGCAGGGTCTAAGTGAGAGAAAACCTTTTTAGGATTTGGGCTGCCATTGGCACCTATCTATCTCAATTTCGTCTCAGGGTTCAAGTAAGTATGTCTTCCACAAGACGGGCTGCCACTGACATGTGTATATTTCCATGTGTATGTGAGCCCATTTCCATTTGATAGACTGCCTTTAGCTTTAATATCCAACATTGAAGAAAAAACTGAAGTAATGATCAATATAACTAAGTAGAAGCTATTTGTTCATAGTCAATTTGTAATTATTCAATTTAACAAAATCAAAAAGTACATTTAAGTAAATAAATTTTTGTCACAAATGGATAAACAAAGTATAAAATATTAGAGCAATTTATTACGGTACATAAATTTCAAAATCAAATAATATTGTACAAAATGTATTTTTCTTATATAAATTCGAGAACAACACGGCGTATGATTAACCAGCGTTGAAGTGAATATTTTACGTATACGTCATGTGGTGCAATATTTTTAAAAACTATAAGCAAAAGTTAATAAACTTAAATTTAATATTTTTTTCATAAATAAGATTTTTGAAAATGTACAAAATATTCTACAAAATTACTCATTTCAAAATGTATATATACTTTTTTGATATTTCAAATTTTTTCGCATTTATTTAAGTAAACAAGCAGAAATTATGCGCCCGCAGATTATTGGTTTAGCGAAATATTCGCC